AAGTGCTTTTCGAAGACGGTAGTTCTAGATCATCATCATCAATGATGGGTTATTATGGTGATGTCAATACATATTTGGACATGATTGAGCAAGCAGCGAAAGCCGAATCACACCACCTGCTGAATACATCGTTCCAGTTGTCCACTTACACAATCCAGTGTGGACTCAGTCCAGCTAGACAGTTTAGTCCGAGCATCATCCTGAAGAAACCATTCTACCCAGCGAATATTTCATTCAGTACTTACGAATGAGCCACCTTCATCGATTTGCTGCATAAGGCACAACAAGACTTTTTTGAACAACCCCTACCTGGTTTTATTGATGAATATGAGCCGATCATTACTGCTTGTGGAGACTATGCTACCGTAGCCAAACATGTCTGCGATGGTGTCAAAATGTTGACCCTCTCCAAATACCACGTCATATTCGATCTGATGGAGGAAGATGTTGCAGACATTTTGAGTGCTGAAATGTGCATTGTTTCACATCGATTTAATTTAATCAATGACTTGGACTTTATTATGTTTTATCAGAATATTATGAATGTAATAGCTGAATGGATAAAAAATAAACTGACTGTTTTGAGTGCACAAGGTTTTGTGATGTTTGCGATAGCATGTCTAGTAACGCTCTCAGAGAATATCTATATTACTGTAAAAATGATTTGATGGCTGATTTGAATAAAAACCTGTGAAATATGTGACTCGTTTTTTTTTATTTCATCAGTCTACAACTTGACGCGAAACTAGTAGCATCTGAAATATTTTAGCTCTGCTCGAAAAATCATGAAGTCTGAAATAGCTGTGCTATTGGAGTTTATAAAATCTCCCGCTTTGACTCTGACGAAATTCACTGAACAAGAATTGCAGTACATTCCAGTAGAATGTCTCATTGAATATGCAGATCCTTATGGGCTATTAGGGGTGTGGCACAAACTTCCTCAAGAATATCGCAGCAACTTTAACCTACAAATCAAACTGCCATGCTTCGTTCATTATAATCGTCCCGATTGGACCACACACTGGAATGGACCGCCATCTTCTCAAGAGGCATGTCATTTTTGTAGAAAAGGATTACTTAAATAAAATAATTCATTATAATATATAGCTGTTTTCGTATCCTTCCACTCCCCACATACATCATATTGCAAACACCATCTGTCATACGTCATATGTCATGTATTACGCGACATCAAATATTTTTTGAAAATCTGACAACACCTTATCGACTTCATAAATAATAATTTCCAACGTCTGGCAACAATGTGACAGTTATCGCAAATATCTCACCATAAATTTATTTCGATGTAATACTTGTGTGTCTTATCTCTAGAACGCATCTCTCGCTTTGCTCTACCTCTACAGATCCGTTGCAAAGATAAGCGCGCGCCAGCGATGGTTATTATTTTCAACTCGAAGTTTCTTATCTCTGGAATGCATCTCTCGCTTCGCTTTACCTCGATAGATCCGTTCCAAAGATAAGCGCGCGCCAGCGATGGATATTATTTTCGACTCGAAGTTTCTTATCTCTGGAATGCATCTCTCGCTTCACTCTACCTCGATAGATCCGTTGCAAAGATAAGCGCGCGCCAGCGATGGATATTATTTTCGACTCGAAGTTTCTTATCTCTAGAATGCATCTCTCGCTGCACTCTACCTCGATAGATCCGTTGCTAAGATAAGCGCGCGCCAGCGATGGATATCCCGTTTGAATAGCATTAAAATAATTGAAATATCACGGAGGTCGGAATACCACAGTGCGTATATACGCTGCCTCATAATGCAAAGGTCCTTGGTTCAATTTCCCAGCGGTGACAGCTTTTTTTAATTTATTTATTCACGATGGCGACGTGACGACGTATGAATAATTTGAATTTCACGCTGGGGTTTAGTGGGCGTGGCCTCCAACCAAATGCTGGTCTCTGATTGGCTTGAGCTGGTAGTCACATAGTCCCTCTACTAACGGGATTGGTGAAAAGTTGGGGCTTTGGGTGGGTAAAATGAGCTACAAAGGTGTTATTAGAATCTTCTTTTATGAAGAAAGTTCCAATCTTTATCATTTTGCCATAATAACCATTTTTCAATTTTATAACAATTTCTCCACTGTACATCCGGGCGCCATCTACATGTCAGAATTTAAGGTGCCGATTCTGCACAGAATACACTACTGGTGATTCCCCGATGGTGGTATGTATATCACAGGTTATACGGCACGGCAGAGTCAGTAAGTTCTTGTATAGAGCATTGTTGTAGAGACTTGGTACTCGTTAGGCGAAAACTAGAGATTAAATAATGATAATTATAATCAGTTGTTGTAGAGTGTTGTTGTAGAGCATAGTTGTAGAGTCTTGGTACTGGTTAGGCGAATGTGTGGTGAATAAAAACTAATAAAGAGTATTATGTGATAAGTGACAAACTGATACATAGACCGTGATATAGACACAGATAATAACTTCAATCACAAATACAATAGTGTGTAGTGGAATCGGATTGTAAAGAACAATAGTTATATAACCATTCAATAATGGTAGCGCAATATCCGACATTTCGAAAAGTCGGTGACAATGACATCATCGAATATGACAAAGATATCGATTCATATTTACTGGTAGATGAAAAATTATCAAAATTCACCATGCACTGTGGTTTTCAAATAAAATCTATTGACATAAATAGGTGTTGCCAGTCTAAAAGTTTGAAATTGCATAGTATATTAGCAAAAAATAATAGAGATTTCAATTTCCAAGAGTTCCATTTCGGAGGTTATGGCGTTCACGGTATATACTGTATGATTCAAATTGAAAAAGAAATTTCCAATAACAGGACAGATTCTAATGATTACAGTGATGACGAAGACCCAATTAATTTCAATGTAAAACCGTTTACCACAGACTTCCTAAAAAGATCAATTGGTGGAATGAATCCGTTGAGCCAAACAATTTCGCAGGGAGCCAGAGAAAAATTGGATGCAGATTCTAATAATTAAATTAATGATATAATGTCTAGAGATCATGATGACTTCCTAGAACAAGTCGATCTCTACATAGATGAAGTGATGTAATCATATCCAGCGGTGAAAAACATTTTCTTCCATAGAAGCCAACACGGCATAAAAAATAACGTTGATACAGGACTAGAATTCATGAAATCCTTAGTAAAAGATAATGAATCGATTGATTATATTCAATTGCATTTTGGTGTGACAATTTCACACAAAAATGCAGAAAATGGATATTCATCTACCTCTTTTAAAAGTGTGACGAATTTGTTAGGGATAGTCAGTGATGAAAACGTAATGCAAGCGTTTGAAATTACATTTTTGAGAAAATACGGTATTTACTCTCACGAACATTTCACCGCCAAACGCCGGCCGCACTTGTGAAATAGAAGGAAACCATCCTTTAGTGACATACGTGCATGCATATATGCCTACTGAACATATGTTCAGAAATACAGTTATTAGCAATTTTATATTATTAGTCTTGCTCAATTACAAGGAGGACTTGAGTTATTCTCATCTATTAGCAGGAGTCAAAAATCCCCTACGAGATTTGGATAACAAAAAAAAAAACAAGTATTTTATAGAAGAGTGCTTGGTGGAACAACCACCAGTGATAAGAGTAGAATATGTGAAATCTATGAAAAATCAACGCATCAACGATGCTATCATTAATATCAGCTCCAACTGATTTCGTAATTGATAACAATAGAATCAATCGATTGATTGAAGAAGAGTGTATAGTGTGCTGTACTGATCATTGGGCAAAATATATACAGCCAATATTGAAACCACCAATTGATCTATTGAATAACTTTGTTTTTACATTACAAAATTTGTCCGCCTCATTACATACCAAAATCGAAGCTCTACTGGACTTATGTCCAGCACTCTACGAATTACAGTACTTGTTGACACGACGAGTCACAGATCTAGATTCTGATCTACTGAAGAAACAATTGTTGAGCGGCACAATTTTACAATCTACCTTGACACCAGATCGTGGTGTGACATTTATTCAATTTCAGCAAGGAGAACAACGCAGAGTTACCGTTGACCAAGTCTGCAAAAAGTTATATATTCCTACTGTTAAATTCTCGAAGGATTATCTCAGAATTCTTGTCAAACGATTATTCAAACTATGCCAAGTGCCATTTCGATTACACCAAGTCGATCATGACGTCATAATCAATCGACGTGTTAGCGATGCTATATTACTATCATTGATGGATTTTGGCACTAGATTCTGCGGTATGAATACGCACAGAACGGAAAATTCCACAGAATCCATTTTTACCGTAACAAGTTTGACCCAATTGGCATTAGGATCGACCAGTAAGTACTATCTATCGAAACGAGTAGTTCCATCAACCGCTGTTTATAACAGCATTACACGGGGTGGGCATGTATTTTCACATTTAATGCGTGCAGTATATGGAAATCACATTATTAAATGTTGTACTCGAATTAATTGCACAGTTAGTGCGAGATATGAAATTTATTCGCAAATATTAATAGACATCAACGGGATGAACCAAGTATAGCTGAGACTACACGGGGAGCGTTTCAACCGCAGAAAACATCTGCAAGAAATAAATGAAGCCCGTCGAGTTGCGGCCACAATAACGACACATTCACACCAAGAGACTGAATCAGAAATTGAAGGAACACGCCGACGTGAAAGAGTTCTACCAATACCTGAAGATGACACAGCAGGCGCATCATCAGAAATAAGCAATAATCATTCCAAAGATACTGAATCAGAAATTGAAGGAACACGTCGACGTAAAAGAGTTCTACCAATACCTGATGATGAAACAGCAGACGCATCATCAGAAATGAGCAATAATCATTCCCAAGATACATTAGAGATTTCGGTGACTCCAAGAGGTGTCGCCTTGCCAGAGAGCGATGCATCAGAGAGCAATGATTCTCAACAAGCAGGATATCAACGAGTTCTACCAATTCCTCTTGCATTTCAGAGTTGCAGCCAAAACTCTGACATGCAGCAGGAGTCTAGTTCATCACAAACAAATTCAGAAACTGATTTATTGATGAGGAAAATTGTTAAAAAGGCCCATTATGATGCTAAAAGATACAAACCAAGTACCTCGTGCACCAGTTTCTCATCAGCACCAGAAAAAGTAATAACATTGTCATCAGCACGTCCGACGCAGACAAGAACTGCATTTTCGAATGCTGAGGATACGTTGCTGATTTATATAATTTCCAGCGACAAAAAATTGTATCAAACTATAGGAAATTCGGTGAGATTTTTAAGAACATTGGAAAACGAGTTCAATAGCAGAAGTAATAAACCTTTCAGGACCTCTAATTCGCTGAAATCGCGATTGAGAACATTGTTCAAAAATGGCTACCACAAAGTCATCCTAAATAGTATAGGGGTGTCTCCCGAAATTGCGGGCTATTTTATAAATATAAGGAACATTTCATGAATTTGACTTTCGACTAATTTCCATTTTCCCTATTTCATGACATTATTTAGAAATACCATATATACCTAACTCCAGTGCATGATATACTAACGAGATAATATAGGAGGGAAATGGGGGTGAAAAGAGTTACTCACAATCTTGATAATTTTATACTTTTTGGTAATTTTCCACTAATTTCCATTTTTTCAATTTTATGACATTTTGTCCAGTGACAAACTAACGGGACAGGAGGAAAATAGGGGTTTTGGGTGGGTGAAAATAGCAAATTCGGTAGGTTCTTCAACTCTCAAACTCGATAATTTTCACTTTTTGATAATTTTCCACTAATTTCCATTTTTCCAATTTTATGACATTCTCTTCATTGACAAACTAACGGGACAGGAGGAAAATAAGGGCTTTGGATGGGTAAAAAAGAGCTGAGTAGGTGTACTGTTTTACTTCTTATTGGAATAATCTTCCAATTTCATCCACTAATTTCCAAATATCTTATTTCATCCCCATTGACATACCAACGGGATTGGCGGAAAGTTGGGGCTTTGGGTGGGTAAAATGAGCTACAAAGGTGTTATTAGAATCTTCTTTTATGAAGAAAGTTCCAATCTTTATCATTTTGCCATAATAACCATTTTTCAATTTCATAACAATTTCTCCAGTGTACATCCGGGCGCCATCTACACGTCAGAATGTAAGGTGGCGATTCTGCACAGAACACAAAACTGGTGATTCCCCGATGGTGGTATGTGTATCACAGGTTATACGGCACGGCAGGGTCAGTCAGTTCTTGTATAGAGCATTGTTGTAGAAACTTGGTACTCGTTAGGCGAAAACTAGAGATTAAAGAATAATAATTACAATCAGTTGTTGTAGAGCATAGTTGTAGAGTCTTGGAACTCGTTAGGCGAATGTGTGGTGAATAAAGACTAATAAAGAGTATTTTATGGTAAGTGACAAACTGATACATAGACAGTGATATAGACACAGATAATAACTTCATTTACAAAGACGATAGTGTGTAGGGAAATCGGATTTTAAAGAACAATAGTTATATAACCATCCAATAATGGCAGCACAATATCCGACATTTCAAAAAGTCGGTGACAATGACATCATCTAATATGACAAAGATATCGATTCATATTCAGTGGTAGATGAAAAATTATCAAAATTCACCATGCACTATGGTTTTCAAATAAAATCTATTGACATAAATAGGTGTTGCAAGCCTTTTGAAATTGCATAGTATATTAGCAAAAAATAATAAAGATTTCAATTTCCAAGAGTTCCATTTCGGAGGCTATGGCCTTCACGGTATATACTGTATGATTCAAATTGAAGAAGTGATTTCCAATAACAGGACAGATTCTGATGATGATACAGGACTAGAATTCATGAAATCCTTAGTAGAAGGTGATGAATCGATTGATTATATCCAATTGCATTTTGGTGAGGCACTTTCACACAAAAATGCAGGAAATGGATATTTATCTACCTCTTTTATAAGTGTGAGGATTTTGTTAGGGATAGTCTGTGATGAAAACGTAATGCAAACGTTTGAAATTACATTTTTGAGAAAATACGATATTTACTCTCACCAACATTCACCGCCAAACGCCGTACTTGTGAAATAGAAGAAAACCATCCATTAGTGACATACGTGCATGCATATATGCCTACTGAATATATATTTAGAAAAACAGTTATTAGCAATTTTATATTATTAGTCTTGCTCAATTATGTAAGAATGCGGATTATTCAATTCATAATTTAATATAGATTTCCATTGGGCTTTAGTGATTAAATGAAATTAGTTGTCTCTTTTCCATTTCAAATTACTGAGAATTCATTTTCAAGAAATCGGTCAGGAAGTGAAATCGAGAGTCATTAAATTTAACTAGGGCCACACTCAATTCATGCCTAATTTTTTCCATTACGAAATATATAGCTACCATAAACTGCTAATAGTGTCCTATTGACCATAATTCTCGACCACCCGTGGTTCAGCTCCTATTCCAAAACTATCGTAAAAGTTTCACTCTCTGCATCAATAAGTCTTATTGAATGGGGTACTCCAGGATATGTCAAGTAGGTATTGTTAGTTTGAGCATAAAAGTTGTGTGGGTATAGGGTTTTTTATTGGAGATACTTCCTTTTTCCCTATAGATGTGAATAGAAACCACACGTCGTGAATATAATTTCAAGAGAAGCGATCTTTTGCATGCCCATCAATTAGTTGACATTTATTATTTCAAGGAAATGGTATTAGTTTAGGCTAGGAAACTCGAGAGTTTATCTTTTGAATAGGGCAATTTATGTAGCATAATAAACACGTCAAAAGTGAGGGCTCTCGAGAAATATATATAGTTTATTTTTATTTTGTGAATATCTGCAGAGGGTACTTAAGAATTTCGAAGAAGTCCCCACATGTTGCAAAAACATAAATTATTTGTATGTCAAGTATCTGAAGCTGGTCAAAAGAGAAGGAAGGAATAGTATACACCCCTAGAGAGAAAAATCTACCACGATTGGTTGATACCATCCAACCAAGTCAAGTTTCCACCCATAACGGAAATGAACAGACGAAATTAGAGTCAGATAGGGATTTTAGAAAAATCTCAAAGTTAGTTCAATTTTGAATTTCATCCTGCTTGCCTCGTGTTCTGGTGCGTGAATTCAGTGTCTGGTAAATCTATCAAAGATTGTATTTTTTCTGATATTGATAAAGATTCACCTTCTGGTATTCATTGCATGGAATCTTGTAAATTCATTGAGTTTTCAGAGTCTGGACTCAACTAGGTTAGTACCTTCCGTACTGCTTAGAACATTTAAATTTTAAAGTGAAATATATTTTTAAACCATTAACTTCCTTTTGACTGGTTAAGATAATATTAGTTTGATAGATTTCAACTCACTCAGGATAGCTGTAATCATCATAATTATCTCTTGTTCGTTTATTTGCTTTGTTATATAGGAGCCATTTCCTCATCGAGTCATATTTTCTTTACTTGTCTTTTCATTATTTGTTTATTTTGATTATCATTAAATAGATCGTTGAGGTTTTATTTATTCTTTTATTGCTGAACTTACCCACTTCTCGTCCAGAAGTGAACAATAAAGTAAATTTAATAGCAGTTCTTCTGATATAAGTTAAAAGTTGATAATATAATATAATAAAGGCAAACAGTTACCAGATAAGTGTTTATACGTGTGACGGTTCGAGGTAATCGATAGCCCGCAGAAGCGATAGCTGAGCCCAGAGAGCTGTCACTCCTTCTGAGAGTCGAAAGGTAAGTGGAATTTTTTGATAATGTTTACGAGCCAACCCAAGCGTATTCTTATTGGACCTTACTTGCCTAACCTGTCTCGTTCGGCAAAGAAAATCAGTAGATGAAGGAAATAAATATTATTAAGTAGGTGGACCTAAGACAGGTGTAATTTAATCAGTTTATTTCGAGGATAGAGTATCTTCATCAGAGTCCACCCTTCTTACAATTACAAGGAGGACTTGAGTTATTCTCATCCATTAGCAGGAGTCAAAAATCCCCTACGAGATTTGGAAAAAAAAATACGAGTATTTTATAGAAGAGTGCTTGGTGAAACAACCAATGGTGATAAGAGTAGAATATGTAGAATCTATGAAAAATCAACGCATCAACGATGCTATCATAATATCAGCTCCAACTGATTTTGTAATTGATAACAATAGAATCGATCGATTGATTGAAGAAGATTGTATAGTGTGATGTATTGATCATTGGGCAGAAAATATACAGCCAATATTGAAACCACCAATTGATCTATTGAATAACTACGTTTTCACATTACAAAATTTGTCCGCCTCATTACATACCAAAATCGAAGCTCTACTGGACTCATGTCCAGCACTCTATGAATTACAGTACTTGTTGACACGACGAGTCGCAGATCTAGATTATGATCTACTGAAGAAACAATTGTTGAGCGGCACAATTTTACAATCTACCTTGACACCAGATCGTGGTGTGACATTTATTCAATTTCAGCAAGGAGAACAACGCAGAGTTACCGTTGACCAAGTCTGCAAAAAGTTATATATTCCTACTGTTAAATTCTCGAAGGATTATCTCAGAATTCTTGTCAAACGATTATTCAAACTATGCCAAGTGCCATTTCGATTACACCAAGTCGATCATGACGTCATAATCAATCGACGTGTTAGCGATGCTATATTATTATCATTGATGGATTTTTGCACTAGATTCTGCGGTATGAATACGCACAGAACGGAAAATTCCACAGAATCCATTTTTACCGTAACAAGTTTGACCCAATTGACATTAGAATCGAACAGTAAGTACTATCTATCGAAACAAGTAGTTCCATAAACCGCTGTTTATAACAGCATTACACGGGGTGGGCATGTATTTTCACATTTAATGCGTGCAGTATATGGAAATCACATTATTAAATGTTGTACTCGAATTAATTGCACAGTTAGTGCGAGATATGAAATTTATTCGCAAATATTAATAGACATCAACGGGATGAACCGAGTATAGCTGAGACTACACGGGGAGCGTTTCAACCGCAGAAAACATCTGCAAGAAATAAATTAAGCCCGTCGAGTTGCGGCCACAATAACGACACATTGACACCAAGAGACTGAATCAGAAATTGAAGGAACACGCCGACGTGAAAGAGTTCTACCAATACCTGAAGATGACACAGCAGGCGCATCATCAGAAATAAGCAATAATCATTCCAAAGATACTGAATCAGAAATTGAAGGAACACGTCGACGTAAAAGAGTTCTACCAATACCTGATGATGAAACAGCAGACGCATCATCAGAAATAAGCAATAATCATTCCCAAGATACTTTAGAGATTTCGGTGACTCCAAGAGGTGTCGCCTTGCCAGAGAGCGAGGCATCAGATAGCAATGATTCTCAACAAGCAGGATATCAACGAGTTCTACCAATTCCTCTTGCATTTCAGAGTTGCAGCCAAAACTCTGACATGCAGCAGGAGTCTAGTTCATCACAAACAAATTCAGAAACTGATTCATTGATGAAGAAAATTGTTAAAAAGGCCCATTATGATGCTAAAAGATACAAACCAAGTACCTCGTGCACCAGTTTCTCATCAGCACCAGAAAAAGTAATAACATTGTCATCAGCACGTCCGACGCAGACAAGAACTGCATTCTCGAATGCTGAGGATACGTTGCTGATTTATACAATTTCCAGCGACAAAAAATTGTATCAAACTATAGGAAATTCGGTGAGATTTTGAGGAACATTGGAAAACGAGTTCAATAGCAGAAGTAATAAACCTTTCAGGACCTCTACTTCGCTGAAATCGCGATTGAGAACATTGTTCAAAAATGGCTACCACAAAGTCATCCTAAATAGTATAGGGGTGTCTCCCGAAATTGCGGGCTATTTTATAAATATAAGGAACATTTCATGAATTTGACTTTCGACTAATTTCCATTTTCCCTATTTCATGACATTATTTAGAAATACAATAAATACCTAACTCCAGTGCATGATATACTAACGAGATAATATAGGAGGGAAATGGGGTGAAAAGAGTTACTCACAATCTTGATAATTTTACACATTTTTTGGTAATTTTCCACTAATTTCCATTTTTTCAATTTTATGACATTTTGTCAAGTGACAAACTAACGGGACAGGAGGAAAATAGGGGTTTTGGGTGGGTGAAAAAAGCAAATTCGGTAGGTTCTTCAACTCTCAAACTCGATAATTTTCACTTTTTGATGATTTTCCACAAATTTACATTTTTCCAATTTTATGACATTCTCTTCATTGACAAACTAACGGGACAGGAGGAAAATAGGGGCTTTGGATGGGTAAAAAAGAGCTGAATAGGTGTACTGTTTTACTTCTTATTGGAATAATCTTCCAATTTCATCCACTAATTTCCAAATATCTTATTTCATCCCCATTGACATACCAACGGGATTGGTGGAAAGTTGGGGCTTTGGGTGGGTAAAATGAGCTACAAAGGTGTTATTAGAATCTTCTTTTATGAAGAAAGTTCCAATCTTTATCATTTTGCCATAATAACCATTTTTCAATTTCATAACAATTTCTCCAGTGTACAGGGTGGGCAAAATTGGGCGTTTTCGCCGTCTATCTCAATAACTAGTGGAGTTATCGAAAAACCGATATAAATGTTCCGGGTTCGATTTTGGAAAAACCTCGAATGGCACAAACAAAATTTCGATATCTTCATTCGTTTTAGAGATACAGGGAGAAATTGAAAATTTGCCGATATCGATTTTATTTTCTGACTACTTTACGGTGAGAGGTATCAAAAAATCTCAAACGTATATTTATACAGTATGATGCGTGGAATCCATTGGCATCATCAGAAATTTTATACAGGGTGACGTTGAAATGATACGGCAGCCAATTATGGTTTTTCTAATGGAACATCCCGTATATTTTGGCACAGTTGAATAGTCCCAGGCGATCTCATTACAATTATATATGTAACCCTACCTTTTCCTTCCACAATTTCAGATATATTCGCAACAATATATTCAGTGTGTCACATTTCTTATGGTTACACCCCCGTATCTTCTGTAAAAATAATTGAGGTAGGATTCAAAAATCCGCAACTGTCAGAAAGATACAAATGATACACTCATGGAGTCATGGACCAAGTGGGATCATCTCCAATGATAACACTGCTCGCCAGCATCTATGGAATCATCGATATTTCTGGATAATGCTATCAACAGGCAGAATCGAGGTTGAAAATGACACTCTGTATATATTCACCGAAGGTGGAAAATGAATATCATAGGGAATGTTATTTCCAGACAAATGGATATTTGGTGAGAAATAAAATGGGAAATTATTCGATTTGATATCATTGTTATCAAGACATTTGAGATACAGAAATAAGACCAATAATTTACTCAATTAGGAAATCAGTAGGTTGCGTTGAAAAATATAGCCTTATAGAAGATGTCCAAATTCCAGATACAGAAGATACTGGGGTGTAACCATCAGAAATGTGACACACTGAATATATTTTTGCGAATATGTCTGAAATTGTGGAAGAAAAAGGTAGAGTTATAGATATATTTGTAATGAGAACGCCTGGGACAATTCAACTATGCCAAAATATACGGGGTGTTCCATTAGAAAAAACAGAATTGGCTGCCGTGTCTTTTCAACGTCACCCTGTATAAAATTTCTGATGATACCAATGGATTCCACGCATCATACTGTATAAATATACGTTTGAAATTTTTTGATACCTCTCACCGTGAAGTAGTCAGAAAATAAAATCGAAATCGGCAAATTTTCAATTTCCCCCTGTATCTCTAAAACGAATGAAGATATCTAAATTTTGATTGTGCCATTCGAGGTTTCTCCAAAATCGAACCCAGAACATGTATATCGGTTTTTCGATAACTCCTCTAGTTATTGAGATAGACGGTGAAAACGCCCAATTTTGCCCACCCTGTACATCCGGGCGCCATCTACACGTCAGAATGTAAGGTGGCGGTTCTGCACAGAATACAAAACTGGTGATTCCCCGATGGTGGTATGTATATCACAGGTTATACGGCACGGCAGGGTCAGTCAGTTCTTGTATAGAGCATTGTTGTAGAAATTTGGTACTCGTTAGGCGAAAACTAGAGATTAAAGAATAATAATTACAATCAGTTGTTGTAGAGTGTTGTTGTAGAGCATAGTTGTAGAGTCTTGGAACTCGTTAGACGAATGTGTGGTGAATAAAGACTAATAAAGAGTATTTTATGGTAAGTGACAAACTGATACATAGACAGTGATATAGACACAGATAATAACTTCATTTACAAAGACGATAGTGTGTAGTGGAATCGGATTTTAAAGAACAATAGTTATATAACCATCCAATAATGGCAGCACAATATCCGACATTTCAAAAAGTCGGTGACAATGACATCATCAAATATGACAAAGATATCGATTCATATTCACTGGTAGATAAAAAATTATCAAAATTCACCATGCACTGTGGTTTTCAAATAAAATCTATTGACATAAATAGGTGTTGCAAGCCTTTTGAAATTGCATAGTAAATTAGCAAAAAATAATAAAGATTTCAATGTCCAAGAGTTCCATTTCGAAGGCTATGGCGTTCACGGTATATACTGTATGATTCAAATTGAAAAAGTAATTTCCAATAACAGGACAGATTCTGATGATGATACAGGACTAGAATTCATGAAATCCTTAGTAAAAGGTGATGAATCGATTGATTATATCCAATTGCATTTTGGTGAGGCACTTTTACACAAAAATGCAGGAAATGGATATTTATCTACCTCTTTTAAAAGTGCGAGGATTTTGTTAGGGATAGTCTGTGATGAAAACGTAATGCAAACGTTTGAAATTACGTTTTTGAGAAAATACGGTATTTCCTCTCACAAACATTCACCGCCAAACGCCGCACTTGTGAAATAGAAGAAAACCATCCATTAGTGACATACGTGCATGCATATATGCCTACTGAATATATGTTTAGAGATACAGTTATTAGGAATTTTATATTATTAGTCTTGCTCAATTACAAGGAGGACTTGAGTTATTCTCATCTATTAGCAGGAGTCAAAAATACCCTACGAGATTTGGAAAACAAAAAAAAAATACGAGTATTTTATAGAAGAGTGCTTGGTGAAACAACCACCAGTGATAAGAGTAGAATATGTAGAATCTATGAAAAATCAACGCATCAACGATGCTATCATAATATCAGCTCCAACTGATTTTGTAATTGATAACAATAGAATCGATCGATTGATTGAAGAAGAATGTATAGTGTGATGTATTGATCATTGGGCAGAATATATACAGCCAATATTGAAACCACCAATTGATCTATTGAATAACTACGTTTTTACATTACAAAATTTGTCCGCCTCATTACATACCAAAATCGAAGCTCTACTGGACTTATGTCCAGCACTCTATGAATTACAGTACTTGTTGACAGGACGAGTCGCAGATCTAAATTATGATCTACTGAAGAAACAATTGTTGAGCAGCACAATTTTACAATCTACCTTGACACCAGATCGTGGTGTGACATTTATTCAATTTCAGCAAGGTGAACAACGCAGGGTTACCGTTGACCAAGTCTGCAAAAAGTTATATATTCCTACTGTTAAATTCTCGAAGGATTACCTCAGAATTCTTATCAACCGATTATTCAAACTATGCCAAGTGCCATTTCGATTACACCAAGTCGATCATGACGTCATAATCAATCGACGTGTTAGCAATGCTATATTACTATCATTGATGGATTTTTGTACTAGATTCTGCGGTATGAATACGCACAGAACGGAAAATTCCACAGAATCCATTTTTACTGTAACAAGTTTGACCCAATTGGCATTAGGATCTAGTCTGAAATAGCTGTGCTATTGGAGTTTATAAAATCTCCCGCTTTGACTCTGACGAAATTCACTGAACAAGAATTGCAGTACATTCCAGTAGAATGTCTCATTGAATATGCAGATCCTTATGGGCTATTAGGAATATCGCAGCAACTTTAACCTACAAATCAAACTGCCATGCTTCGTTCATTATAATCGTCCCGATTGGACCACACACTGGGATGGACCGCCATCTTCTCAAGAGGCATGTCATTTTTGTAGAAAAGCATTACTTGAATAAAATAATTCATTATAATATATAGCTGTTTTCGTATCCTTCCACTCCCCACATACATCATATTGCAAACACCATCTGTCATACGTCATATGTCATGTATTACGCGACATCAGATATTTTTTGAAAATCTGACAACACCTTATCGACTTCATAAATAATAATTTCCAACGTCTGGCAACAATGTGACGGTTATCGCAAATTCTTCACCATAAATTTATTTCGATGTAATACTTGTGTGTCTTATCTCTAGAACGCATCTCTCGCTTTGCTCTACCTCTACAGATCCGTTGCAAAGATAAGCGCGCGCCAGCGATGGTTATTATTTTCAACTCGAAGTTTCTTATCTCTGGAATGCATCTCTCGCTTCGCTTTACCTCGATAGATCCGTTCCAAAGATAAGCGCGCGCCAGCGATGGATATCATTTTCGACTCGAAGTTTCTTATCTCTGGAATGCATCTCTCGCTTCACTCTACCTCGATAGATCCGTTGCAAAGATAAGCGCGCGCCAGCGATGGATATTATTTTCGACTCGAAGTTTCTTATCTCTGGAATGCATCTCTCGCTTCACTCTACCTCGATAGATCCGTTGCAAAGATAAGCGCGCGCCAGCGATGGATATCCCGTTTGAATAGCATTAAAATAATTGAAATATCACGGAGGTCGGAATACCACAGTGCGAATATACGCTGCCTCATAATGCAAAGGTCCCTGGTTCAATTTCCCAGCGGTGACAGCTTTTTTTAATCTATTTATTCACGATGGCGACGTGACGACGTATGAATAATTTGAATTTCGCGCTGGTGTTTAGTGGGCGTGGCCTCCAACCAAATGCTGGTCTCTGATTGGCTTGAGCTGGTAGTCACATAGTCCCTCTACTAACGGGATTGGTGAAAAGTTGGGGCTTTGGGTGGGTAAAAAGAGCTACAAAGGTGTTATTAGAATCTTCTTTTATGAAGAAAGTTCCAATCTTTATCATTTTGCCATAATAACCATTTTTCAATTTTATAACAATTTCTCCACTGTACATCCGGGCGCCATCTACACGTCAGAATTTAAGGTGGCGATTCTGCACAGAATATACTACTGGTGATTCCCCGATGGTGGTATGTGTATCACAGGTTATACGGCACGGCAGAGTCAGTCAGTTCTTGTATAGAGCATTGTTGTAGAGACTTGGTACTCGTTAGGCGAAAACTAGAGATTAAATAATAATAATTATAATCAGTTGTTGTAGAGTGTTGTTGTAGAGCATAGTTGTAGAGTCTTGGTGCTGGTTAGGCGAATGTGTGTTGAATAAAGACTAATAAAGAGTATTATGTGATAAGTGACAAACTGATACATAGACAGTGATATAGACACAGATAATAACTTCAATCACAAATACAATAGTGTGTAGTGGAATCGGGTTTTAAAGAACAATAGTTATATAACCATCCAATAATGGTAGCGCAATATTTGACATTTCAAAAAGTCGGTGACAATGACATCATCAAATATGACAAAGATATCGATTTATATTTACTGGTAGATGAAAAATTATCAAAATTCACCATGCAATGTGGTTTTCAAATAAAATCTATTGACATAAATAGGTGTTGCCAGTCTAAAAGTTTGAAATTGCATAGTATATTAGCAAAAAATAATGAAGATTTCAATTTCCAAGAGTTCCATTTCGAGGTTATGGCGTTCACGGTATATACTGTATGATTCAAATTGAAAAAGGAATTTCCAATAACAGGACAGATTCTGATGATTACAGTGATGACGAAGACCCAATTAATTGCAATGTAAAACCGTTTACCACAGACTTCCTAAAAAGATCAATTGGTGGAATGAATCCGTTGAGCCAAACAATTTCACAGGGAGCCAGAGAAAAATTGGAAGCAGATTCTAATAATTATACTAATGATATAATGTCTAGAGATTATGATGACTTCCTAGAACAAGTCGATCTCCACATAGATGAAGTGATGTAATCATATCCAGCGGTGAAAAACATTTTCTTCCATAGAAGCCAACACGGCATAAAAAATAACGTTGATACAGGACTAGAATTCATGAAATCCTTAGTAAAAGATAATGAATCGATTGATTATATTCAATTGCATTTTGGTGTGACAATTTCACACAAAAATGCAGAAAATGGATATTCATCTACCTCTTTTAAAAGTGTGACGAATTTGTTAGGGATAGTCAGTGATGAAAACGTAATGCAAGCGTTTGAAATTACATTTTTGAGAAAATACGGTATTTACTCTCACGAACATTTCACCGCCAAACGCCGGCCGCACTTGTGAAATAGAAGGAAACCATCCTTTAGTGACATACGTGCATGCATATATGCCTACTGAACATATGTTCAGAAATACAGGTATTAGCAATTTTATATTATTAGTCTTGCTCAATTACAAGGAGGACTTGAGTTATTCTCATCTATTAGCAGGAGTCAAAAATCCCCTACGAGATTTGGTTAACAAAAAAAAACAAGTATTTTATAGAAGAGTGCTTGGTGGAACAACCACCAGTGATAAGAGTAGAATATGTGAAATCTATGAAAAATCAACGCATCAACGATGCTATCATAATATCAGCTCCAACTGATTTCGTAATTGATAACAATAGAATCAATCGATTGATTGAAGAAGAGTGTATAGTGTGCTGTACTGATCATTGGGCAGAATATATACAGCCAATATTGAAACCACCAATTGATCTATTGAATAACTTTGTTTTTACATTACAAAATTTGTCCGCCTCATTACATACCAAAATCGAAGCTCTACTGGACTTACGTCTAGCACTCTACGAATTACAGTACTTGTTGACACGACGAGTCGCAGATCTAGATTATGATCTACTGAAGAAACAATTGTTGAGCGGCACAATTTTACAATCTACCTTGACACCAGATCGTGGTGTGACATATATTCAATTTCAGCAAGGAGAACAACGCAGAGTTACCGTTGACCAAGTCTGCAAAAAGTTATATATTCCTACTCTTAAATTCTCGAAGGATTATCTCAGAATTCTTGTCAAACGATTATTCAAACTATGCCAAGTGCCATTTCGATTACACCAAGTCGTTCATGACGTCATAATCGATCGACGTTAGCGATGCTATATTACTATCATTGATGGATTTTGGCACTAGATTCTGCGGTATGAATACGCACAGAACGGAAAATTCCACAGAATCCATTTTTACCGTAACAAGTTTGACCCAATTGGCATTAGGATCGAACAGTAAGTACTATCTATCGAAACAAGTAGTTCCATCAACCGCTGTTTATAACAGCATTACACGGGGTGGGCATGTATTTTCACATTTAATGCGTGCAGTATATGGAAATCACATTATTAAATGTTGTACTCGAATTAATTGCACAGTTAGTGCGAGACATGAAATTTATTCGCAAATATTAATAGACATCAACGGGATGAACCAAGTATAGCTGAGACTACACGGGGAGCGTTTCAACCGCAGAAAACATCTGCAAGAAATAAATGAAGCCCGTCGAGTTGCGGCCACAATAACGACACATTCACACCAAGAGACTGAATCAGAAATTGAAGGAACACGCCGACCTGAAAGAGTTCTACCAATACCTGAAGATGACACAGCAGGCGCATCATCAGAAATAAGCAATAATCATTCCAAAGATACTGAATCAGAAATTGAAGGAACACGTCGACGTAAAAGAGTTCTACCAATACCTGATGATGAAATAGCAGACGCATCATCAGAAATAAGCAATAATCATTCCCAAGATACTTTAGAGATTTCGGTGACTCCAAGAGGTGTCGCCTTGCCAGAGAGCGAGGCATCAGAGAGCAATGATTCTCAACAAGCAGAATATCAACGAGTTCTACCAATTCCTCTTGCATTTCAGAGTTGCAGCCAAAACTCTGACATGCAGCAGGAGTCTAGTTCATCACAAACAAATTCAGAAACTGATTTATTGATGGAGAAAATTGTTAAAAAGGCCCATTATGATGCTAAAAGATACAAACCAAGTACCTCGTGCACCAGTTTCTCATCAGCACCAGAAAAAGTAATAACATTGTCATCAGCACGTCCGACGCAGACAAGAACTGCATTTTCGAATGCTGAGGATACGTTGCTGATTTATACAATTTCCAGCGACAAAAAATTGTATCAAACTATAGTAAATTCGGTGAGATTTTTAAGAACATTGGAAAACGAGTTCAATAGCAGAAGTAATAAACCTTCCAGGACCTCTAATTTGCTGAAATCGCGATTGAGAACATTGTTCAAAAATGGTTACCACAAAGTCATCCTAAATAGTATAGGGGTGTCTCCCGAAATTGCGGGCTATTTTATAAATATAAGGAACATTTCATGAATTTGACTTTCGACTAATTTCCATTTTCCCTATTTCATGACATTATTTAGAAATACCATATATACCTAACTCCAGTGCATGATATACTAACGAGATAATATAGGAGGGAAATGGGGGTGAAAAGAGTTACTCACAATCTTGATAATTTTACACTTTTTTGGTAATTTTCCACTAATTTCCATTTTTTCAATTTTATGACATTTTGTCAAGTGACAAACTAACGGGACAGGAGGAAAATAGGGGTTTTGGGTGGGTGAAAAAAGCAAATTCGGTAGGTTCTTCAACTCTCAAACTCGATATTTTTCACTTTTTGATGATTTTCCACAAATTTACATTTTTCCAATTTTATGACATTCTCTTCATTGACAAACTAACGGGACAGGAGGAAAATAGAGGCTTTGGATGGGTAAAAAGGAGCTGAATAGGTGTACTGTTTTACTTCTTATTGGAATAATCTTCCAATTTCATCCACTAATTTCCAAATATCTTATTTCATCCTCATTGACATACCAACGGGATTGGTGGAAAGTTGGGGCTTTGGGTGGGTAAAATGAGCTACAAAGGTGTTATTAGAATCTTCTTTTATGAAGAAAGTTCCAATCTTTATCATTTTGCCATAATAACCATTTTTCAATTTCATAACAATTTCTCCAGTGTACATCCGGGCGCCATCTACACGTCAGAATGTAAGAGGCGATTCTGCACAGAATACAAAACTGGTGATTCCCCGATGGTGGTATGTGTATCACAGGTTATACGGCACGGCAGGGTCAGTCAGTTCTTGTATAGAGCATTGTTGTAGAAATTTGGTACTCGTTAGGCGAAAACTAGAGATTAAAGAATAATAATTACAATCAGTTGTTGTAGAGTCTTGGAACTCGTTAGGCGAATGTGTGGTGAATAAAGACTAATAAAGAGTATTTTATGGTAAGTGACAAACTGATACATAGACAGTGATATAGACACAGATAATAACTTCATTTACAAAGACGATAGTGTGTAGTGGAATCGGATTTTAAAGAACAATAGTTATATAACCATCCAATAATGGCAGCACAATATCCGACATTTCAAAAAGTCGGTGACAATGACATCATCAAATATGACAAAGATATCGATTCATATTCACTGGTAGATAAAAAATTATCAAAATTCACCATGCACTGTGGTTTTCAAATAAAATCTATTGACATAAATAGGTGTTGCAAGCCTTTTGAAATTGCATAGTAAATTAGCAAAAAATAATAAAGATTTCAATTTCCAAGCGTTCCATTTCGGAGGTTATGGCGTTCACGGTATATACTGTATGATTCAAATTGAAAAAGTAATTTCCAATAACAGGACAGATTCTGATGATGATACAGGACTAGAATTCATGAAATCCTTAGTAAAAGGTGATGAATCGATTGATTATATCCAATTGCATTTTGGTGAGGCACTTTTACACAAAAATGCAGGAAATGGATATTTATCTACCTCTTTTAAAAGTGTGAGGATTTTGTTAGGGATAGTCTGTGATGAAAACGTACCTAATGCAAACGTTTGAAATTACGTTTTTGAGAAAATACGGTATTTACTCTCACAAACATTCACCGCCAAACGCCGCACTTGTGAAATAGAAGAAAACCATCCATTAGTGACATACGTGCATGCATATATGCCTACTGAACATATGTTTGGAAATACAGTTATCAGCAATTTTATATTATTAGTCTTGCTCAATTACAAGGAGGACTTGAGTTATTCTCATCTATTAGCAGGAGTCAAGAATCCCCTACGAGATTTGGAAAACAAAAAAAAAAATACGAGTATTTTATAGAAGAGTGCTTGGTGAAACAACCACCAGTGATAAGAGTAGAATATGTAAAATCTATGAAAAATCAACGCATCAACGATGCTATCATAATATCAGCTCCAACTGATTTTGTAATTGATAACAATAGAATCGATCGATTGATTGAAGGAGAATGTATAGTGTGATGTACTGATCATTGGGCAGAATATATACAGCCAATATTGAAACCACCAATTGATCTATTGAATAACTACGTTTTTACATTACAAAATTTGTCCGCCTCATTACATACCAAAGTCGAAGCTCTACTGGACTTATGTCTAGCACTCTATGAATTACAGTACTTGTTGACAGGACGAGTCGCAGATCTAGATTATGATCTACTGAAGAAACAATTGTTGAGCAGCACAATTTTACAATCTATCTTGACACCAGATCGTGGTGTGACATTTATTCAATTTCAGCAAGGAGAACAACGCAGGGTTACCGGTGACCAAGTCTGCAAAAAGTTATATATTCCTACTGTTAAATTCTCGAAGGATTATCTCAGAATTCTTGTCAAACGATTATTCAAACTATGCCAAGTGCCATTTCGATTACACCAAGTCGATCATGACGTCATAATCAATCGACGTGTTAGCGATGCTATATTACTATCATTGATGGATTTTTGCACTAGATTCTGCGGTATGAATACGCACAGAACGGAAAATTCCACAGAATCCATGTTTACTGTAACAAGTTTGACCCAATTGGCATTAGGATCAAACAGTAAGTACTATCTATCGAAACAAGTAGTTCCATCAACCGCTGTTTATAACAGCATTACACGGGGTGGGCATGTATTTTCACATTTAATGCGTGCAGTATATGGAAATCACATTATTAAATGTTGTACTCGAATTAATTGCACAGTTAGTGCGAGATATGATATTTATCCGCAAATATCAATAGACATCAACGGGATGAACAGAGTATGGTTGAGACTACACGGGGAGCGTTTCAACCGCAGAAAACATCTGCAAGAAATAAATGAAGCCCGTCGAGTTGCTGCAACAATAACGACCCATTCACACCAAGAGACTGAATCAGAAATTGAAGGAACACGCCGACGTAAAAGAGTTCTACCAATACCTGAAGATGACACAGCAGGCGCATCATCAGAAATAAGCAATAATCATTCCCAAGATACTGAATCAGAAATAGACGGAACACGCCGACGCCAATACCTGAAGATGAAACAGCAGACGCATCATCAGAAATAAGCAATAATCATTACCGTGATACTTTAGAGATTTCGGTAAGTCCAAGAGGTGTCGCCTTGCCAGAGAGCGAGGAATCAGAGAGCAATGATTCTCAACAAGCAGGATATCAACGAGTTCTACCAATTCCTCCTGCATTTCAGAGTTGCAGCCAAAACTCCGACATGCAGCAGGAGTCTAGTTCATCACAAACAAATTCAGAAACTGATTTATAGATGAAGAAAATTGTTAAAAAGGCCCGTTATGATGCTGAAAGATACAAACCAAGTACCTCGTGCACCAGTTCCTCATCAGCACCAGAAAAAGTAATAACATTGTCATCAACACGTCCGACGCAGACAAGAACTGCATTCTCGAATGCTGAGGATAGGTTGCTGAATTAAACAATTTCCAGCGACAAAAAATTGTATCAAACTATAGGAAATTCGGTGAGATTTTCAAAAACATAGGAAAACGAGTTCAATAGCAGAAGTAATGGACCTTTCAGGACCTCTAATTCGCTGAAATCGCGATTGAGAACATTGTTCAGAAATGGCTACCACAAAGTCATCCTAAATAGTATAGGGGGGTCTCCCGAAATTGCGGGCTATTTTATAAATATAAGGAACATTTCATGAATTTGACTTTCGACTAATTTCCTTTTTCCCTATTTCATGACATTATTTAGAGATACCATATATACCTAACTCCAGTGCATGATATACTAACGAGATAATATAGGAGGGAAATGGGGTGAAAAGAGTTACTCACAATCTTGATAATTTTACACTTTTTTGGTAATTTTCCACTAATTTCCATTTTTTCAATTTTATGACATTTTGTCCAGTGACAAACTAACGGGACAGGACGAAAATAGGGGTTTTGGGTGGGTAAAAAAAGCAAATTCGGTAGGTTCTTCAACTCTCAAACTCGATAATTTTCACTTTTTGGTAATTTTCCACTAATTTCCATTTTTCCAATTTTATGACATTTTCTTCATTGACAAACTAACGGGACAGGAGGAAAATAGGGGCTTTGGGTAGGTAAAAAAGAGCTGAGTAGGTGTACTGTTTTACTTCTTATTGGAATAATCTATCAATTTTATCCACTAATTTCCAAATATCTTATTTCATCCCCATTGACATGCCAACGGGATTGGTGAAAAGTTGGGGCTTTGGGTGGGAAAAATGAGCTACAAAGGTGTTATTAGAATATTCATTTATGAAGAAAGTTCCAATCTTTATCATTTTGCCATAATAACTATTTTTCAATTTCATAACAATTTCTCCAGTGTACATCCGGGCGCCATCTACACGTCACAATGTAAGGTGGCGATTCTGCACAGAATACACAACTGGTGATTCCCCGATGGTGGTATGTGTATCACAGGTTATACGGCACGGCAGAGTCAGTCAGTTCTTGTATAGAGCATTGTTGTAGAGACTTGGTACTCGTTAGGCGAAAACTAGAGATTAAAGAATAATAATTACAATCAGTTGTTGTAGAGTGTTGTTGTAGAGCATAGTTGTAGAGTCTTGGTACTCGTTAGGCGAATGTGTGGTGAATAAAGACTAATAAAGAGTATTTTGTGGTAAGTGACAAACTGATACATAGACAGTGATATAGACACAGATAATAACTTCATTTACAAAGACAATAGTGTGTAGTGGAATCAGATTTTAAAAAACAATAGTTATATAACCATCCAATAATGGCAGCACAATATCTGACATTTCAAAAAGTCGGTGACAATGACATCATCAAATATGACAAAGATATCGATTCATATTTACTGGTAGATAAAAAATTATCAAAATTCACCATGCACTGTGGTTTTCAAATATAATCTATTGACATAAATAGGTGCTGCAAGTCTAAAAGTTTGAAATTGAGTATATTAGCAAAAAATAATAGAGATTTCAATTTCCAAGAGTTCCATTTCGGAGGTTATGGCGTTCACGGTATATACTGTATGATTCAAATTGAAAAAGTAATTTCCAATAACAGGACAGATTCTGATGATTACAGTGATGACGAAGACCCAATTAATTTCAATGTAAAAGCGTTTACCACAGACTTCCTAAAAAGATCAATTGGTGGAATGAATCCGTTGAGCCAAACAATTTCGCAGGGAACCAGAGTAAAATTGGAAGCAGATTCTAATAATTATATTATTGATATAATGTCTAGAGCAGGGGTTCTCAACCGGTGGTGAATTCCCCCCTGGGGGGGAATTTTTCGTTTTCTAGGGGTGAAAATCACCACATCGATTGACCAAATGAAAAGCTAGAATTGATTTGAAATTTAAGAATTTCATCAAAATATTAATACCAAAATAAATAATATATCGCGATTTACCAATAGTCTCTCTTTTGTTCATCTCTTGAAACAACTACCAAGGCTTCAGATATTTCAGAAAAAGTTTCATTATTCTTTCAGTCTGAGAATCTCGTGTGGGAAAATCTCTGTGGTTGTTGTACAAATGGAGCACCAGCTATGTTGGGGACAAGATCTGGATTTCAAATCCAGGTGAAAGAGCCATCACCAAAAGTAAGAGGCATTCACTGTATGATTCATCGTCAAGCGCTCGCCTCCAAAACACTTCCAGCTAATTTGGGAACAGTTTTAGATCAAGTAGTTAAGATTGTAAATTTTGTCAAAGGCGGTGCTCTCAACTCCCGGCTTTTCAAGCAGTTATGTGCTGACATGGATGCGACTCATCAAACTCTTCTTTTCCATACCAATGTTCGCTGGCTCTCAAAGGGAAATGTAACTGCGAGAGTATTTGCCCTCAGAGATGAGCTAAAATTATTTTATGAAGCCCAGGGTAAGATGGATTTCTTTGCCTTGCTGGATAATAAGGAATGGATTATATGCCTGGCCTATTTAGTTGACATTTTTGAGCAACTTAACGAACTTAATCTTCAGATGCAGGGAAGAAATACAAACATTATAAAATTCACTTGAAAGCTTTTATGAGTAAGTTGGAAAAGAAAGGTTGAAGAAAACAATGTTGCAATGTTTGTGAAACTTTCAATGGTTCTTTCTGCAAGCAGTGGAAGTCAAGTTATTCCAAAATTTATACAAAGTGAAGTTTCACAACACCTGGCAGCATTAGAAGTAGAATTTAACCGATATTTTCCAGAACGAAGTAAAAATGAGTTGGATTTATTAAGAAATCCATTTAAATTGGCTGTTGAAATAGTGCCTGATGATTGTCAAGATGAATTTCTGGAGCTTAAAAATGATTCAGGAGCCAAAGATTTGTTCGACGAAAAATCAGTTTCAGAATTTTGGCCCTTGATGTGCGAATCCTACCCAAAAATAGCAGAAATAGCCATCCGTGCATTACTTCCATTTGTGTCGACATATCTTTGCGAATCAGGATTTTCAACCATGCTGCAAATAAAAACCAAACAACGAAGTAGGTTGGAGGTTGAGGATGATATGCGTTGTGCTCTTTCAAAGACTTCACCGCGCATTCAAGAGTTGGCCAAAAATAAACAGTCACAAATTTCTCATTGACTTATACATCGGTTTTAGTTAGTTTTAGTTTTAGTACATCAGCGATATATGTTATGTTATGTATTATTACTATTGTGATCAACATTTATGTAATGAAAGCTGAAATGTATAAGGGGAGTATTTTAAGAGGGGAATGTCATCTGGGATAATGGTAAAAAGGGTGCATGGGGTCAAAAAGGTTGAGAACCCCTGGTCTAGAGATTATAATGACTTTTCAGAACAAGTCGATCTCCACATAGATGAAGTGATGTAATCATATCCAGCGGTGAAAAACATTTTCTTTCATAGAAGCCAACACCGCATAAAAAATAACGTTGATACAGGACTAGAATTCATGAAATCCTTAGTAAAAGATAATGAATCGATTGATTATATCCAATTGCATTTTGGTGTGACAATTTCACACAAAAATGCAGAAAATGGATATTTATCTACCTCTTTTAAGAGTGTGAGGATTTTGTTAGGGATAGATAGTCTGTGATGAAAACGTAATGCAAGCGTTTGAAATTACATTTTTGAGAAAATACGGTATTTACTCTCACGGACATTTCACCGCCAAACGCCGCACTTGTGCATACGTGCATGCATATATTGTAACCATGCCAATTTCAGGGGGTAATAAGTGATAAAATTTAGTTATGATTCTACCCCTGAGTTGGCTGTTAACCTGCCTGAGATTTACTTGGTGTTTTAATTCTCAAAAGTTTTGCTACAAAATATAGTGTTTTAAGTGCCTAGTTTGAGACTGTAGAAACCAAACACTGGTAGTTCAGCGGGACAATGGGGTGGGTACGTTAAATGCCAAAAGTAGGGTGAATATATAGATTTAATAATAAGAAAACTTGAAAAATACAAATTCCACTAGAATTTTGCCTTGATCTCAATGAAAACCATCAATTAGCAATATTTTATATCACAACTAGGGACTGTCTGAAATCAACTCTTCAGTACATCCCTTATAATCAATTTATAACAAAAATGGGAATAACAGATATATATATATATAGACAAGGTGATAAAGCAATACCGCAGTGCACGTTGGTTTCCAATATATGAATGACTTGATAATACTAATAAATGGTACAATTTGGGGTATTTTACTTATAACTCAGCATAAACGGTAATTTTCAACCCTTCTAAGTGGTAGCGGTATTTGGTGGTAGTTTTCCACTTCCAAACGGGTACCAATATGGAACAGACTCACCAAAATTGAAGGTGACAGGCGAATATGTTCAACTGTGGAGTCCAGCTGTCGAGTACAGGGTGTAGGCGGCCACGTCGTTGATATACAGGGTGTTGATGTTACCGCCAAGATACAGGCAGGATACAGGTACAGGGTAGACTTGGTTCTGTAGAGATGTCTACTATGCAGCCACAAAACAACCTGATGGGGCTCTCAGGGCTCCTGGGCCATCAGCAGGTTCTTCTATTGGGCCGGCAACAAAAAAAATGGCCAAACCAAGAAATATCCAGCCAGCAACGACCGGATAACACCCCCAGCGATCGACACGTGGTGGATGACGGAATCTGCAGGCTTCACCGGAGAAATGACAGATTCCGGGAATATAAGAACCCTGAACGACAAAATGGAAAAATTGTTTTGGGCCACTCAATAAATAATCCAAATTTTTCCCGCGAACACACTGTAGATGGTATTTCACCACCACAGAAAGATGAGAGAATATCCTAGCTCCAACAAGAAAATACCTAAGTTACCCGATATTAGTGAATGTTAACCATTTTACATCTAGTTTTCGTGGAAATTGATTTTTCGGCGGTTAAAGCCGTTCTGCCACGACCTCAATATTCAAACGGAGACATGCGCAGACATGACCTCGGAACTACGTCGACCCATGACGCAATCTTCTTCTTTTTCGGTGGATGAACGACTCCATCGAACGAGACATAAACACTAGGGTTATCACACCTACTATCCGATTTAAACAACAAATCACTATTTTGAAAAATCCCGACATCATGCTGAGCTTAGTCCTTCCATAATCAATCAATTTTGAGGGCCATTCCAAAATCGATGAAAAATGAACTACTGTCAATGACAGATGTTAGCAACTGCTAAAAGTACGAAGAATCATAAAAATAATGACATTGTCCTTCAAAATAAAGCAGAGCAGCTCGCAAATATCGGTCAACTGTCAGTAGTCAACAATCTGACAGTAATAAAGATTCTGACAGTGATATCTCGCTCAATATTATTGACTGAAAATGTAAACAACAAGCACAATATGATAAATCGACTGATAAATAAAATAGTGAAACGATCTTCGCTAAACTGTTGAATATCCGTGCGCTCGAACATATCGAAGAAGGCTGGCTATCAAGTATCATCCCACAAAAACAACAGCGTGAATAAATATTCGAAACCAGAATCGCGAACCACGGTAAGCACTGACAACAGACCTTGTCTAATAGAAACTCGAGAGACTATTTTGTTTTCAGGAGCTAAATAAGAGAACTGATTTACGACAATAAACTGTATAAACTATTTGAGATTGCAAATAGGATATATCAACGACAACTGATGAATAAGCAAATGAAAATCTGAGAGAAAAGTACGTAAACAAAACCATCTCGATTTGATTTCTAGCAGTATTTTCGTTAGGCAAAAACGAAGTGTAACAATATGCCTACTGAACATATGTTCAGAAATACAGTTATTAGCAATTTTATATTATTAGTCTTGCTCAATTACAAGGAGGACTTGAGTTAATCTCATCTATTAGCAGGAGTCAAAAATTCCCTACGAGATTTGGAAAACAAAAAAAACATACGAGTATTTTATAGAAGAGTGCTTGGTGAAACAACCACCAGTAATAAGAGTAGAATATGTAAAATCTATGAAAAATCAACGCATCGACGATGCTATCATAATATCAGCTCCAACTGATTTTGTAATTGATAACAATAGAATCGATCGATTGATTGAAGGAGAATGTATAGTGTGATGTACTGATCATTGGGCAGAATATATACAGCCAATATTGAAACCACCAATTGATCTATTGAATAACTACGTTTTTACATTACAAAATTTGTCCGCCTCATTACATACCAAAATCGAAGCTCTACTGGACTTATGTCCAGCACTCTATGAATTACAGTACTTGTTGACAGGACGAGTCGCAGATCTAGATTATGATCTACTGAAGAAACAATTGTTGAGCAGCACAATTTTACAATCTACCTTGACACCAGATCGTGGTGTGACATTTATTCAATTTCAGCAAGGAGAACAACGCAGGGTTACCGTTGACCAAGTCTGCAAAAAGTTATATATTCCTACTGTCAAATTCTCGAAGGATTATCTCAGAATTCTTGTCAAACGATTATTCAACCTATGCCAAGTGCCATTTCGATTACACCAAGTCGATCATGACGTCATAATCAATCGACGTGTTAGCGATGCTATATTACTATCATTGATGGATTTTTGCACTAGATTCTGCGGTATGAATACGCACAGAACGGAAAATTCCACAGAATCCATGTTTACTGTAACAAGTTTGACCCAATTGGCATTAGGATCAAACATGAAGTACTATCTATCGAAACAAGTAGTTCCATCAACCGCTGTTTATAACACCATTACACGGGGTGGGCATGTATTTTCACATTTAATGCGTGCAGTATATGGAAATCACATTATTAGATGTTGTACTCGAATTAACTGCACAGTTAGTGCGAGATATGAAATTTATCCGCAAATATCAATAGACATCAACGGGATGAACAGAGTATGGTTGAGACTACACGGGGAGCGTTTCAACCGCAGAAAACATCTGCAAGAAATAAATGAAGCCCGTCGAGTTGCTGCAACAATAACGACCCATTCACACCAAGAGACTGAATCAGAAATTGAAGGAACACGCCGACGTAAAAGAGTTCTACCAATACCTGAAGATGACACAGCAGGCGCATCATCAGAAATAAGCAATATTCATTCCCAAGATACTGAATCAGAAATTGAAGGAACACGCCGACGTAAAAGAGTTCTACCAATACCTGAAGATGACACAGCAGGCGCATCATCAGAAATAAGCAATAATCATTCCCTTGATACTTTAGAGATTTCGGTAAGTCCAAGAGGTGTCGCCTTGCCAGAGAGCGAGGCATCAGAGAGCAATGATTCTCAACAAGCAGGATATCAACGAGTTCTACCAATTCCTCCTGCATTTCAGAGTTGCAGCCAAAACTCCGACATGCAGCAGGAGTCTAGTTCATCACAAACAAATTCAGAAACTGATTTATAGATGAAGAAAATTGTTAAAAAGGCCCATTATGATGCTGAAAGATACAAACCAAGTACCTCGTGCACCAGTTCCTCATCAGCACCAGAAAAAGTAATAACATTGTCATCAACACGTCCGACGCAGACAAGAACGAGGATAGGTTGCTGAATTATACAATGTCCAGCGACAAAAAATTGTATCAAACTATAGGAAATTCGGTGAGATTTTTAAGAACATTGGAAAACGAGTTCAATAGCAGAAGTAATGGACCTTTCAGGACCTCTAATTCGCTGAAATCGCGATTGAGAACATTGTTCAAAAATGGCTACCACAAAGTCATCCTAAATAGTATAGGGGTGTCTCCCGAAATTGCGGGCTATTTTCAGTGGCGGATTTGCCATAAGGCCCAGTAGGCCCGGGCCTAGGGCGGCCAGATACGAAGGGCGGCAATCGTGCCAAAAAAACTCAGTGATGATAACAAGAAATAACTCAAATGCAAAGTATCTCAAAATATTTTAGAGGCTCGCGTACCGTACGTATGATTATAATCTTCCTAAATCACTATTTTTGAGTATTAAAGTATAAATACTTTCGTACATCGTGCTTAAAAAATAGTTCGTACGTTTAGTTTAATATTAGTGATCTAGGAAGAATACCTATCCTATTGTTATTACAAAAACAACTCAGCGGTGTCGCGCGAACATTCTAGAAAGCTCTACACGACGCTCGAATGCGTGCGCGCGCCGCCCCGCAGGAAGGATCTAGAAACGGTGCAAGCGCGACGGAAATACGCGCGACGTGAGAGTGAGCAAGACAGCGCGCGGCATGCATACACGCGCGCGTTCTGGAAACTGCCCGACTATTCTAGTATAACGTTGCACCGGTATATATAAGCTACGGGTTTGGACGGTGGGACAGTTCAGTTTAGTGAGCGATTGAGTGCGATACTGCTTAAGTTGAATATGGACGGAAAGAAAAGGGTAAGGTTAAGTGGGGCAGAGTATCGCAAGAGAGCTAAAGAAAAAGATGATAAACAAAAAGATACGATTAAAAAAACACGGAAACTAGACGATTTCTTTGGAAAACTTGATGTTCCAAGTAGTAGTGGCGCTCCGTCAACTGATGATTCTGCAGTGTCTTCAAGTGAAAATACTTTGATCGATGTGGCAAGCATATCGAAAGAACAAGCCGAAGATGTCCCTCTAGTACCAGGAGTGGCAGGAGTAGGAGTGCAGCCCAATCCTACGGACCAGGAGCTCTACGAAATCAGCGACGATCCAGCTAAATGGACAATCGACGAGTTCACGCGTGATCACATTTGTAAGAACGGAGCCAATCAAAACATCCAAAATGATTTTCCTAAAAGTGAGCGCATTTACAAAGATAAAGCGCGACAGTTGTCGAGACATTTATTCGAACGTCAGCTTCTGAACGGTGAAAAAGTTCCGCGAAAGTGGCTAATTTATTCCAAAAGTACTGGATGTGTTTTTTGTGGTCCTTGTCTGCTTTTTAATAGCGGGGAGAGTCAGTTCGACAAAAAAGAAGGTTTCAATGACTGGAAAAATTCATATCATCGAGTGTCAACTCATGAGAATTCGCCTACTCACAAATTATCTGTTCTGCATATGAAAGAACGAAGCAACGTGCTAGGTCGCATTGACCGCGCATTAACAATGCAATTAGATGAAGAAATAAATTACTGGAGAAACATTCTGAAAAGAGTAGTTGCATGCGTAAAAGCGCTTGCGTCACGTGGTTTGCCTTTCAGAGGACACGAAGAAAAATTTGGATAAATCCACAATGGAAATTATTTGATGTCCTTAGAGCTTATCGCTGAGTTCGATCCGTTCTTAGCCAAACACATTACACGTTATGGAAATCCAGGCTCAGGATTTACGAGTTATCTTTCTTCAACAACATGCGAAGAATTCATTCGACTTATGGGAAACAAAGTTTTGGAAACAATTGTTATGGAAATATCAACCGCAAAATATTTTTCTCTGATTATTGACTCGACACCGGATATATCTCACGTAGACCAGCTCACTTATGTTATCAGATATGTCCTGCCTAATGGGTCACCTGTAGAACGGTTCCTCAAGTTTATTCCAAACACAGGCCACAAATCACAACAAATGGCAGATGCTGTTACCTCAACTTTAACTGAATTGGGAATTGACATTTCAAACTGCCGCGGGCAATCATATGACAATGCAGCTAACATGTCAGGCATATACAACGGCCTGCAAGCTAAAATAAAGGAAATTTCACCCCTTGCCGACTATGTTCCCTGTTCAGCACACTCGCTTAATTTAGTAGGTGAATGTGCTGCTGAAAGCAGCCAAGAGGCTTGTTCGTTCTTTTTTCTACTCCAAGAGTTATACAATTTCTTTGCAGCGTCAACTCAGCGTTGGGAACTCCTTCAAACCCATTTCACCGTCAAAAGTCTATCAACGACTCGTTGGTCAGCTCGTGCAGACGCATGCAAAAGTTTACGCGAATCCTGGAATGAAATCCATAAAGCGCTAGTCACCATCGAAAATGACACACAACAGAAGAGAACCGTTATATGCGAAGCAAGAGGTATTCGTTTGAAACTGGAACGTTTTGAAACGGCTCTCATGGCTGTTTTTTGGGGATGTTTACTAGATCGCATTAACGCCACAAGTAAAAAACTTCAGAGTGTGGAAATTGACATTACTATTGTTATAGAACTGTACGAGGCTTTAATACATTTTGTTGGCGAAACAAGAGAGAATTTCGATGAATTCGAAAAAAAAGCGAATAAACTGTCCTTCGTACAGGAATATGAAAAAGATTTTCGACGCAATCGAAAGCGTAAGCTGCTTCCTGGCGAGACTAATACAGGTGAAGAGATGCAACAAAGTGGCCGTGAAAATTTTAGAATACATACTTTTTTGGTAGTAATTGATACATTGTCAGAAGAACTGAAAAGACGCCGGGATGCTTATAAATTACTCTACAATAAATTCCACTTTATTACCAACCTGAAGAATCTAAGCATCTCAGAAGTCGAAGATAAGGCCAAAGCATTGCAAATGATTTATTCTACTGACTTAGAAGACAATTTTACAGAAGAATGTCTTCATTTTCGTTCCCACTGCAGCATAAAAAATGAGGAGCAAAAGAGTGCAGTCAGTTTGTTGAAATGGTTACGAACCGAAGGTCTTCAAACCATTTATCCAAACGTGGATATTGGTCTTCGTATGTGTGTGTGTACACCCGCCAGTAACTGTACAGGAGAAAGATCGTTTTCTTGTTTGCGCAGAGTTAAAAACTATTTACGCACTACAATGACGGAGCAGAGGCTAAACGATCTTGCTTTGCTTAACATAGAAGCTGATTTTTTAAGGAAATTGGATTGCGAAGATTTAATTAATAATTTTGCTGCGCTTAAGTGCAGACGACGAGTTTTGTAACACATTGTAAAACCTTTATTTTATTAAAAAGGAAACCTAAAACCATTTTAAATGTTTTATTCAAATTTCCAATCATCCCTGGCCTCGGAAAATATTATAAACTAGCTTTATAAGCTAGCTTTCAGTTAACAATTTTCTGAATCAAATAAAAGTGGCAATAAAGTAAATTCATGAATTATGTATCTAGTCTCTAATGATCGGTGCTGAGAAAAGGGCGGCACATGGCCTGGGGCCTAGAGCGGCTAGGACTGCAAATCCGCCACTGGCTATTTTATAAATATAAGGAACATTTCATGAATTTGACTTTCGACTAATATCCTTTTTCCCTATTTCATGACATTATTTAGAAATACCATGTATACCTAACTCCAATGCATGATATACTAACGAGATAATATAGGAGGGAAATGGGGGTAATTTTCCACTAATTTCCATTTTTACAATTTTATGACAATTTGTCCAGTGACAAACTAACTGGACAGGAGGAAAATAGGGGTTTCGGGTGGGTAAAAATAGCAAATTCGGTAGGTTTTTCAACTCTCTATCTTGATAATTCTCACTTTTTTGGTAAATTTCCACTAATTTCCATTTTCTTAACTTTATCACATTCTTTTCATTGACAAACTAACGGGACAGGAGGAAAATAGGGGCTTTGGGTGGGTGAAAAGAGCAGATTCGGTAGGTTTTTCAACTCTCAATCTTGATAATTTTCACTTTTTTGGTAAATTTCTACTAATTTCCATTTTTTCAATTTCATGACATTCTTTTCATTGACAAACTAACGGGACAGGAGGAAAGTAGGGGTTTTGAGTGGGCAAGAAGAGTTAATTCGGTAGGTTTTTCAACTCTCAATTTTGAAAATTTTCTCTGTTTTGGTAATTTTCCACGAATTCCCATTTTTCCAATTTATGACATTCTCCCCGTTGACAAACTAACGAGACATGAGGAAAATTGGGGCTTTAGGGTGGGTAAAAAGAGCAAATTCGGTAGGTTTTTCAACCAACTTCTATTCTTGAAAAATTTCCCTATATTTGGTGATTTTCCACTAATTTTCATTATTTCAATTTAATGACATTTTCTCCAGTGACAAACTAATGGGGCAGGAGGAAAGTAGGGGTTTTGGGTGGGTAAAAAGAGCTGATTCGGTAGAATTTTCAACTCTCAATTTTGAAATTTTTTCTTTTTTTTGGTAATTTTCCACGAATTCCCATTTTTCCAATTTATGACATTCTCCCCATTGACAAACTAACGGGACAGGAGGAAAATAGGAGCTTTAGGGTGGGTGAAAAGAGATGAGAAGGTAGGTGTTTCAACACTCAATTTTGAAAATTTTCCCTTTTTTGTTTATTTCCCACTAAATTCCATTTTCCCAATATCATATCATTTTCTGTATTGAGAAACTAACGGGACAGGAGGAAATTGGGGCTATGGGTGGGTAAAAGAGCAGAATAGGTAATTTTTTGACCTGTTTCTCCTGCAAAATATCGCCATCTAACAGAGAATTCCCAAAGTATTGGCTGACAGATGATCGCACTACTGCATCTAAGGAAGAAAACTGCCACCGTAGCGCCATCTATCGGATAATACTCAAACTGGTATATGACCCAAACCTTCTTTGAAAATACCCCTCAGGAGAAAACCCTCTGGAAATACAGTCTCTGGAAAACATCTTCTGTGGAAAAATTTCTCTCAGGAAAAAATCCCCCACACAAAAATTATCTCCAGAAGAATGTTCCACGAGAATGAAAAGTCGGAAGCAGGTTAGGTTAGGTTTACATTCGATGAAAATAAATCTTCCTCCAAGATATTTCTTGAGGATTTGATTATCTAAACAGAAACTTTAGGAAGGAGCAGGCACTATTTCTAGGTTTTGTAGACGAAGTTTGCTGAGGTTATTAATACACGTTGTACACGACAAATCGCGACCATAGATTCATCCAATTTCTTTTTGCAGGAGCGAAGTTCGCAACCCAAAACAACCAAAACAAAACAATGGAGCAACCCTCTATTCCAAATGCTAATCCACAGCAACCACAACCCCGCGCTTACAGAGGTCACCCCTCTGAGCAAAGGAACCCCAAGGCCCCTAACTCATGGAAGGATAACAATCCTCCTAGAGAGCAAGCGCCTTCCCAGCCCAACAGACCTCAAAAACATGTTGCGCTCAATAAGCCCTAGACGGGGCGCAAGTTTCTAGAGTAATTTTTATCTTATTTAGAGGTCAAAGGGTCAAGGTCATGCATAAATTGGCAATAGAAGCAGCGAAAATTGGCAATAAAAGCAATATATACTGCCAATAAAAGCAATATAAATTGCCAATGAAAGTAGCATAAATTGGCAATAACAGCAGCATAAATTGGCAATAAAAGCATGTGAATTTATCATGGGATATTAGTCAGAGTTGTTATGTAATTGTGGCCGTTGGAGAATGTGAATCAGATGGCGGAAGAGTCACAGTTGCATTCGATACCTGACCGAGTGTGGTCCAATTCATATTATTATTGCGCTCCTGCATAAATTGGCAATAAAAGCAGCATAAATTGGCAATGAAAGCATTTGAATTTATCATGAGATATTAGTCAGATTTGTTATGTAATTGTAGCAGTTGAAGAAAGTGAGTCAGATGACAGAAGAACCACAGTTGCATTCGATACCTGACCAAGTGTGGTCCAATTCATATTATTATTCCGCTTCTGCATAAATTGGCAATAAAAGCAGCATTAATTTGCAATGAAAGCATTTGAATTTATCATGAGATATTAGTCAGAGTTGTTATGTAATTGTAGCAGTTGGAGAAGGTGAGTCAGATGGTGGAAGAGTCACAGTTGTATTCGATACCTCACCGAGTGTGGTCCAATTCATATTATTATTATTCCGCTCCTGCATAAATTGGCAATAAAAGCATTTGAATTTATCATGATATATTAGTCAGATTTGTTATGTAATTGTAGCAGTTGGAGAAGGTGAGTCAGATGACAGAAGAGTCACAGTTGCATTCGATACCTGACCGAGTGTGGTCCAATTCATATTATTATTCCGCTCCTGCATAAATTGGCAATAAAAGCAGCATAAATTGGCAATAAAAGCATTTGAATTCATCATGAGATATTAGTCAGAGTTGTTATGTAATTGTAGCAGTTGGAGAAGGTGAGTCAGATGGTGGAAGAGTCACAGTTGCATTCGATACCTGACCGAGTGTGGTCCAATTCATATTATTATTCCGCTCCTGCATAAATTGGCAATAAAAGCATTTGAATTCATCATGAGATATTAGACAGAGTTGTTATGTAATTGTAGCCGTTGGAGAAGGTGAGTCAGATGGTGGAAGAGTCATAGTTGCATTCGATACCTGACCGAGTGCGGTCCAATTCATATTATTACTCCGCTCCTATGTACACCGGTAAGTAATATATATGAAAAAGCAGAACCAAATATCATAGTAGTTCATGCCTCTTTTCTATTGTTATGGGGAGGAAGGGTCATGTATTTTTTTGTTATAGCATTTTATAATTGTACATTGGTCAGGTCAAATATTTTAGTAAGGCATGCCTCAGTTGTACTGTCATGGGGAGGAAGGGTCATGTATTTTCATAGTTAAAGCATTTTATGGTTGCGCAGTTGGGGTACAATCCCTCCGATGTGTTTGCGGATTCTGCCCGAGTCGGCAGATTAGGATGCGGATGACACATTTCTTCGTGTGAGTAAAGGGTTTGTACGGTGTTAAGCGCCTAAGGTACACATCATGTAGCGCTTATTGTCAATTAGAGCAACCGTCTGCAGAACGTACTGTAGTGTTTTTAAAGAAAAAGCAATGAAAATCCCAAAGTCTGTCGATTTTCATTGCTTTTTCTTTAAAATCAATTGGACCACTTTGAGAAAAATGGATGATTTCTATGATTTGGTACTGTAGTGTTTCAGAACGTGAACTGAGACATAAATTGTGTGTGCGACTTGCGGATTGCAAGTATGAAGCGTTTGTTGTTAAATTAAGCGTCACGAATCGGAGATTTCTAAGTGGCATTTGCACACAGGATGTTCGTTTTAATCATTGCGTTAGTGAGTAGATAAGTATGAGCGCTAATTATATCAGTAAGTATCTGAATAATATTCATATTAACGAGGAATGTTTATGTCCTTTCGTATATGTAATCCTTTTTTTTGGGTAATAATTTCGAAAGCCGTAACCCACAATTGTAGGTATTTGAAGTTTATAAATGAAATGTTACGGATGTTCAACACGCGTTATCGATGTAATACAAAATACTATTCAGATGTGTTTGGCTATACTTTTTACAAGATAGCGATTCGATGTTGTTTGGTTATAGTCGTTGAAAAAGTACAGTATGCTAGTGATACGAAATGTGAATTTCCGTTAATTCTCATAAAAATTCAATAAAATCTTGAGTTATTCAAGAAATGGTTATACTATATAATTCCTTCCTGGCAAACATTAGAACAGATATCATTAATGTTATATTTATATCAATTAAAGATAAAATACAGTTTACTTTATTAGTACATATTGAAAAAGGTGCACATATTGAACAAAGATTTTTAACGAAATCTAATATGTTATGATATAGACTTTTTAAATGTTTGTAAGAACGTACTGTATCGTGGGTTCTATGCCAATAAGTAACATATGAAATAATTGACCTTCAACAAGTGTCACCCCTTTTTGCCTCTTCCCGCTACCTGTGGTGAAATTATTTCTTTTCGAATTGTGCCTTCGACCAAGCAACATGAATATTAATGTGATGATGGGTAAAAAATATCATTCCGTTATATGTAAGTACACAAATTGAATAAAAATGATTTTAATATTTTAACACATTTACTTTTTACTACTAATTTAATCGAATGATTTATTTAAAAAAAAAACCATGATGGATTAATTAAGAAGTAGATACATTTGGATATTTTGTTCATGTATCAACCCTTATAATTAGGACGCCATGCTTTGTAACAAAATGGATTCTAGTTGTTGCATATTTTAAAATTTATTTACTATTCAGTATATTGAATTTTATCATTTTTAATTATCGATTATATCAATCAATATTATACAAATTTATAATATTTGAAAATCAACGTGTAGTACTAATAGATTTTTTGCGAATTGAAAATGGATACTGTTTTAATAACATAAAAATTCCTTATAGACGTTGCGGTGTTAATTTTTTGTTGATTTTATTTATTGATGATTTTATTGTCATCAATATAATTGATCAATGAATCATGAATTTACATAACACCCATGTATGGGCTGATGAAAATCGAAAATTGTTTCGCATCGCCAACATCAGTTCCAATCAATTAATGTCTGGGCAGGAATCGTTGGCAATTTTTTGATTGGACCATTCGTATTGCCGGCACGATTGAATGGAATACTTTATTTGGAGTTCCTCCAGAACGCTATTAATGATTTAGTCGAGCACTTACCACTTGAAACCCGCCGAAACATGTACTTTATGCATGATGGGGCACCACCTCATTTCAGCGTTGCTGTGCGGGAGCACCTGAATAACGTCTATCCAAACCGTTGGATAGGTAGAGGAGGACCTATTGCCTGGCCTCCTAGATCTCCCGACCTAACGCCATTAGATTTTTACCTGTGGGGACACCTCAAAACCTTGGTGTATTCCACTCCGGTCGATACTAGGGAGGAACTTCTACGGAGAATCACGTTTCATTGTGATGTGATAAGGAACAATGCTGGGTTATTGTGGCGGGTACAGCAGTCCTCAATTCGTCGTGCTCGCGAGTGTATCAGACTTCATGGAGCCCATGTTGAACCCTGTTACGAAGTTTTTAACTAAGCAGTTAAAGTTCAACTTTTTATTGAAACTATGTTGGTTACCGTGGAAAATTACGCTAAATACATGATATAAATAAAATGACGTTTTTACGAAAACGGTTATGATTAGCGACATGAATGAAGAGTACTTAATTTTTAGTCAATAGTTGGAGGTATGTAAAAAACGTTGTCCAGAGTTCTTATCATACAGGGCGTAAAAAAAATGGGCCCATGAGTGTCACAGCTAGTCCGTCCCTGGAGCTGTGAGTAATTCGCAACACTTTCTTGGATAGTAATTTGAAGAGTCTTACCTAGTATACATCATATTAAAAAAAAATTGAAATATACCTGTTGGTTCAAGAATTATGTGTCAAAAACTTAATTCCATGGGAGCTCTTTGGGAGCCCATATCTCCGAAGAGGAGGCCGATACAAAAGAAGTTTATATGAACTTATAGTATTCTTTTCACGTGTTTTCTTCATATCCGGGAGATTTCCCACATGTTCCCGGACACCCTGTATATATATCTGTAAGAACATTCCAATCAGACTCCAAGTGTGATAAATTGATGAAATTAGCTCTTGAGTAAATATCTCCAAGTTGAAAAAACAGTACAATATTATTCATTGGAAATAGGCATTGACAAATTATATTATCATGTTTTATTTGTGTATAATTATGTATATATTATGAAAATATCTACATAGTGCTATATACTTCATCTATAATTATTAATATAACACATTTTATTTCTCGGAAGACTCTACCAGGAGGAAAAAAGAAATCAGATATAACGATTTCCAATAATATAAAATGGTGAGAAAAAATTATAATGATTCAAGCATATAAATTTTTGAAACTCTTCCTTTTTTTAGACTTCCATGACATCTACCACCATATATACACATCAATAAATCTACGTACTTGAATATATATACCTAAATATATAATTTTCTCCAAAATGGTTGCCTTTCAGCGATGTTCGGAGGAATTTGTCTTCAGTTATAGTGGTGGACGACATTATTCATCATTTCTAAAAAAGGAGGTAAACATATATCATAAAGTATCACAAGTTCTCTAACAATTTTATAATTATTGAAAAAAAAATTTGAAATGTTTATACAGGGTGTCTCAAAATTATATACAAATATTTCAATCATAGATTTTACAAAATAAAATAGTAAGAAAATCTTACATATAATTCAGACTACAAATGACTACCATGTTTATATATAATCATCTGAAAAAGAACACTAAATTATGATTTATTATAAATTTTTAAGAAACCCTATATCATTAGATAACAAATTTTCCTGCATTTATGAGATTTTTCATATTCAAAATATGTGCAAAATAGTTGAAACCAGGCATCTTTGAATCTTCAATATTCTTTCTATACAATTTTTCATAGTTTCAGCAGATAAAAGGAAACGTCATCATTTTCACTGTAAAATGATACTTTTGTTTAATTTAGGTAACATTAGTTGTTTTTAATATGAATCGATTTTGAAAGTTTGAATATTTACTGTTTTAACTATCAAAAAGTGCAAAAAAAATTTGGGGGAAATAAGTGCTCAATGTTTTAGCAATTTTTGATGTTTCTGATTGAATTTTCGTAATATTTTCAACATAATTAAATCAGTGATACAATACACAACATGTTCATATAACTAATCCATTATTTCTTATGTTAACAGTTAATTATTCTTCTTGTTGGATCTAGTCATCTGTCATACTTTGCAGCAATGAGAAGTGAATTGGAATCATTATCACAACAAAAATCTGACAAGTATAAATACGAAATTGGTGATACCATTTTGGGTAAAGTAAAGGGTTATACTTATTGGCCGTGTGAAATCTCCATGGTACAGGCACTTTCTTATAAAGTCAAATTTTATGGCAGAGATACCAAGGGTATGGTTTATAAAAATAAGTCAGAGGATTTAACGAAGAAAAATTTTAATGAATTTTGTTTAAATTCGACTAAGTCTGAAAAAATTCAAGAGGTGTTAGTACAGGCATACACACTTGCAAAGGCTGATATGACTAACAATATTTTTCAGTTATAATATTTTTCTAATAATTTCTATATATTTATTATGGAACGCATTTAGACATTTTATATATGCATTTAGTATCTGTGAGTACAATGGTGTTAATTGAAAATTCAACAAGAGAATGTATTTTTGAATAATGAAAAAAATGAGTTATTACTGCTGTGCTACGCAAAAAGGTTGTATCTGACATTTTCGTTATAATTGAGAAGATTATATTTGTCCTTTTTAGTTAGTACGGTAGAATATATCTTGAGAAAAATTACCTGATTAATATTGATTGCGAAGAATTTTTTAAATCAAAAAGTGTGGTGTGACTTCGGCCACCCTTTGAAGCCTGCTGGCTTGGGCTAGAGCCTCTTTCGTTCTGTGATGAATATGCTCTTGTACTCAGTTACTAAATACATATATGAAATATCTAAATGCTGACAGCATAAGGTGACTAGAATTTCTACCAGATCATTGGAATTATGCACAAGGTAAGGAATAGTTCACTAGTTATGTAATAAAGCAAATACAATAATACTATAAAATATTAAATGGTCCTCAATCAAAAATTAAAAGACTTAATAATAATATTCGTATGAATCTCAACGATAACATTAATATTATGTTTTTTTAATGTATAATAATTATTACTATTGGAAATATAATTGTTTGACAGCTATATTTGAAGATGGCATTTTTTACATTTACGCCTATGTGAAATTCATTTCATTTTGTTTAATTAATGAAAATAATGAATTTATTAGGAATTTATATGACAATTGTTCAAGTATTGAAAATCATCATGTCACTGTTTAGAAAATAAATTATATTTTAACTATTATTTACATCTATATTGTGAAGAATATATTTCAATGCTTCTCATAAATTAGATAATTTCATCTATTTCACTTTCATTCGAATTAGCAGTAGTAACAATATAATTTGAATACCAAGAAATTTATATGATGTATGCTACTTCATCCTTCTAAATATATAGAAATTATTCGCAAAAAATAGGTAATATGCCTACTAAATTTACTCCAGAATTTTTTGTGGAAAATCCTGTTAAATTAGCGTTGCTGGTGAAATATGTTAGAAGTTGTAAGGAACGTCAAAAAAATTTGAATTATAACACATTATATTTCAAAATTTTGCAGTATAAATCACTTCCTACTGTGTTCACGTTAGATGGTTTGACCAACGCTGTTATAAATTTTCCCTTGGATTTACTAGAAACTCAGCCACTGTGGAATTTGTCAGCATATGCAGCTGTGGCCAATGTACGTTCAGAATATATTTCCAATTAAAGATATCAAATCAGGTGGAACAGTTAGCGTAGCTGCTGCAAAAACTATATATGAGCATTTGTTTAAAGTAAATGCAAGTGAAGAGAGATTACGCTTATTTCGAAGCATATTACAGGCCAGAGGTACCTTACATTTTATTGAACATGCTGATTTATTTGAAGATACAGTATCTGAGACTTTACTCAGAAATAGTGTTAATGATTATTTAACGATTAAGACGAAAGTCCCACTAGGACAGACCTTTGAACGCGACAGTCACCGACAAAAGAGGTATAAAATTAATTTGCCATCGACTTCGTTTACTTCTTCAGATATTGAGGTAGAATCAGACTCTGATATTCAATCTGATGAGGATGAAAATTACTCAGATAATCCGTCGAGTAACGAACTTGAACTAGAAATTGATGTTGAATCAGAAGATGACGATGAGTGTGATAGGATTGAACCATCACAACAATTACCATCTGAGAAATCTTCAACAATATCTTTACCAACAAGTAGAATATTAAAGTATAATTCAAGTTATGATAGTGATGAAAAATTAAAATCTCAAATTTCAAAATCTCATATTCCGACATCTCATATTTCAAAATCTTCTGGATATCAAAAAGTAGATAATTCTAGTTCTTCAGCTCATCAAGAATCTGCAAAGAATATTTCTTCCATACGGAAATCATTTCATTATGACTCATCAGGTTCGGAACTTGACGAACAAATCAAATCACCGTCACATTCATCAATGGTAAGTTCTAAAATAATCATGTCTCGTACGTCAAGTTCTGAGTTAGAATTTTTAACAATTGACAAATTTGAAAAACCTCGTCCACTTGATCAAAGTGATAATTTTAGTTCTAGTGGAATTACTCGTACTAATTCTGCTATTAATGTCATTTCATCAATAGTGATACCATCAAAAGTTGAATCTGTACCTTCAGTTGCAATTTCACGTGACGTCGAAGTTCCAACTTCAATTGGAGATACGATTCCAGTTGAAGTTTCAACTTCAATTGGAGATACAATTCCAGTCGAAGTTGCAACTTCAATTGGAGATACAATTCCAGTCGAAGTTTCAACTTCAATTGATATGGCGACATCAGTTGAATGCATCGGTATAACTTCAAACGAAGTTATAACTGCAGGTATAACTTTGGCTGAAGTTATACCTACAAATGAATCTACATCAATTATAAAATCAACTTCAACTGATATTGTAGCTCCAATTGATAATGAAATTGTAACGTCAACTGGAGCTGTTACTCCAATTGAAGTTGAAATTTCGTCAACTGCAGTTGTATCCCCAATTGAAGTTGAAATTTCCACTGAACATTCTTCAAATAATACTTCAAAAATAACAAATCAAGAATTTACCGAAGGGTCAGATGGTGATATGCTTTTGGAAGAAGCAATATCAACTGACAATATACCTGTAGTTGAAAATTCAACTACAATTATATCTTCAGTTGAAACTGAGGATTCAAGAAATAACATAAAGTCGAATGAAACTTCAATACAAGTTACAAATATTATATCTGAAGGTACAATTTCAGCTGTTGAAGAAATTGAGAGACCAGGTTCATCAACTTCGTCACTTGGAATATCTAGATTAGAAATGAGAAGTGAATTGGAATCATTATCACAACAAAAATCTGACAAGTATAAATACAAAATTGGTGATATCATTTTGGGTAAAGAAAAGGGTTATACTTATTGGCCGTGTAAAATCTCCATGGTAAAGGCACTTTCTTATAAAGTCAAATTTTATGGCAGAGATACCAAGGGTATGATTTATAAAAATAAGTCAGAGGATTTAACGGAGAAAAATTTTAATGAATTTTGTTTAAATTCGACTAAGTCTAAAAAAATTCAAGACGAGTTAATACAGCCATACACACTTGCAAAGGCTGATATGACTAACAATATTTTTCAATTATAATATTTTTCTAATAATTTCTATATATTTATTATGGAACGCAATTAGTTATTTCATATATGCATTTAGTATCTGTGAGTACAATGGTGTTATTTGAAAATTCAACGAGAGAAAGTATTTTTGAATGATGAAAAAAATGAGTTATTACTGCTGTGCTACGCAAAAAGGTTGTATCTGACATTTTCGTTATAATTGAGAAGATTATATTTCTACCAGATCATTGGAATTATGCACAAGGTAAGGAATAGTTCACTAGTTATGTAATGAAGCAAATACAATAATACTATAAAATATTAAATGATCCTCAATCAAAAATTAAAAGACTTAACAATAATAGTCGTATGATGAATCTCAACGATTACATTATTATTGTTTTTCTTTTAATGTATAATAATTATTACTATTGAAAATATAATTGTTTGACAGCTATATTTGAAGATGGCATTTTTTACATTTACGCCTATGTGAAATTCATTTCATTTTGTTTAATTAATGAAAATAATGAATTTATTAGGAATTTATATGACAATTGTTCAAGTATTGAAAATCATCATGTTACTGTTTAAAGAATAAATTATATTTCAACTATTATTTACATCTATATTGTGAAGAATAAATTTCAATGCTTCTAATGAATTAGATCATTTTATCTATTTCACTTTCATTCGAATTAGCAGTAGTAACAATATAATTTGAATACCATGAAATTTATATGATGTATGCTACTTCATCCTTTCAAATATATAGAAATTATTTGAAAAAAATAGGTAATATGCATACTGAATTTACTCCAAATTTGTTTGTGAAAAATCCTGTTAAATTAGCGTTGCTGGTTGAATATGTTAGAAGTTGTAAGTAACGTCAAAAAAATTTGAATTATAACACATTATATTTTAAAATTCTGCAGTATAAATCACGTCCTACTGTGTTCACGTTAGATGGTTTGACTAACGCTGTTATAAATTTTCCCTTGGATTTACTAGAAACTCAGCCACTATGGAATTTGTCAGCATATGCAGCTGTGGCAATGTACGTTCAGAATATATTTCCAATTAAAGATATCAAATTAGGTAGAACAGATAGCGTAGCTGCTGCAAAAACTATATATGAACATTTGTTTGAAGTAAATGCAAGTGAAGAGAGATTACGCTTATTTCGAAGCATATTACAGGCCAGAGGTACCTTACATTTTATTGAACATGCTGATTTATTTTACGATACAGTATCTGAGACTTTACTCAGAAATAGTGTTAATAATTATTTAACGATCAAGACGAAAGTTCCACAAGAACAGACCTTTGAACGCGACAGTCACCGACAAAAGAGGTATAAAATTAATTTGCCATCGACTTCGTTTGCTTCTTCAGATATTGAGGTAGAATCAGACTCTGAGATTCAATCTGATGAGGATGAAAATTACTCAGATAATCCGTCGAGTAACGAACTTAAACTACAAATTGTTGTTGAATCAGAAGATGACGATGAGTGTGATAGGATTGAACCATCACAACAATTACCATCTGATAAATCTTCAACAATAGCTTCACCAACAAGTAGAATATTAAAGTATAATTCAAGTTCTGATAGTGATGAAAAATTAAAATCTCAAATTTCAAAATCTCATATTTCGACATCTCATATTTCAAAATCTTGTAAATCTTCTGGATATCAAAAAGTGATAATTTTAGTTCTAGTGGAATTACTCGTCCTAATTCTGCTATTAATGTCATTTCATCAATAGTGTACCATCAAAAGTTGAATCTGTACTTTTAGTTGCAATTTCACGTGACGTCGAAGTTCCAACTTTAATTGGAGATACGATTCCAGTTGAAGTTTCAATCAATTGAATGCATCGGTATAACTTCAAACGAAGTTATAACTGCAGGTATAACTTCGGCTGAAGTTATACCTATAAATGAATCTACATCAATTATAAAATCAACTTCAACTGAAATTGTAGTTCCTATTGATAATGAAATTGTAACGTCAACTGGAGTTGTAATTCCAATTGAAGTTGAAATTTCTACTGAACATTCTTCAAATAATACTTCAAAAATAACAAATCAAGAATTTACCGAAGGGTCAGATGTTGATTTGCTTTTGGAAGAAGCAATATCAACTGACAATATACCTGTAGTTGAGAATTAAACTACAATTATATCTTCAGTTGAAACTGAGGCTTCAAGGAATAACATAAAGTCAAATGAAACTTCAATACAAGTTACAAGTGTTATATCTGAAGGTACAACTTCAGCTGTTGAAGAAATTGAGAGACCAGGTTCATCAACTTCGTCACTTGGAATATCTAGATTAGAAATGAGAAGTTAATTGGAATCATTATCACAACAAAAATATGACAAGTATAAATACAAAATTGGTGATATCATTTTGGGTAAAGTAAAGGGTTATACTTATTGGCCGTGTAGAATCTCCATGGTACAGGCACTTTTTTATAAAGTAAAATTTTATGGCAGAGATACCAAGGCTATGGTTTATAAAAATAAGTCAGAGGATTTAACGGAGAAAAATTTTAATGAATTTTGTTTAAATTCGACTAAGTCTAAAAAATTCAAGACGAGTTAGTACAGGCATACACACTTGCAAAGGCTGATATGACTAACAATATTTTTCAATTAAAATATTTTTCTAATAATTCCTATATATTTAATATGGAACGCATTTAGACATTTCATATATGCATTTAGTATCTGTGAGTACGATGGTGTTATTTGAAAATTCAACGAGAAAAGGTATTTTTGAATGATGAAAAAAATGAGTTATTACTGCTGTGCTACGCAAAAAGGTTGTATCTGACATTTTCGTTATTATTGAGAAGATTATATTTGTCCTTTTTAGTTAGTACGGTAAAATATATCTTGAGAAAAATTACCTGATTAATATTGATTTCTAAGAATTTTTTGAATCAAAAAGTGTGGTGTGACTTCGGCCACCCTTTGAAGCCTGCTGGCTTGGGCTAGAGCCTTTTTCGTTCTGTGATGAATATGCTCTTGTACTCAGTTACTGAATACATATATGAAATATCTAAATGCTGACAGCATAAGGTGACTGGAATTTCTACCAGATCATTGGAATTATGCACAAGGTAAGGAATAATTCACTAGTTATGTAATAAAGCAAATACAATAATACTATAAAATATTAAATGGTCCTCAATCAAAAATTAAAAGACTTAATAATAATAGTCGTATGAATCTCAACGATAACATTATTATCATGTTTTTTTTTTATGTATAATAATTATTACTATTGAAAATATAATTGTTTGACAGCTATATTTGAAGATGGCATTTTTTACATTTACGCCTATGTGAAATTCATTTCATTTTGTTTAATTAATGAAAATAATGAATTTATTAGGAATTTATATGACAATTGTTCAAGTATTGAAAATCATCATGTTACTGTTTAAAGAATAAATTATATTTCAACTATTATTTACATCTATATTGTGAAGAATAAATTTCAATGCTTCTAATGAATTAGATAATTCTATCTATTTCACTTTCATTCGAATTAGCAGTAGTAACAATATAATTTGAATACCATGAAATTTATACGATGTATGCTACTTCATCCTTTCAAATATATAGAAATTATTTGAAAAAAATAGGTAATATGCCTACTGAATTTACTCCAAAATTGTTTGTGAAAAATCCTGTTAAATTAGCGTTGCTGGTGAAATATGTTAGAAGTTGTGAGGAGCGTCAAAAAAAATTTGAATTATAACACATTATATTTTAAAATTCTGCAGTATAAATCACGTCCTACTGTGTTCACGTTAGATGGTTTTACTAACGCTGTTATAAATTCTCCCTTGGATTTACCAGAAACTCAGCCACTATGGAATTTGTTAGCATATGCAGCTGTGGCAATGTACGTTCAGAATATATTTCCAATTAAAGATATCAAATCAGGTAGAACAGTTAGCGTAGCTGCTGCAAAAACTATATATGAGCATTTGTTTGAAGCAAATGCAAGTAAAGAGAGATTACGCTTATTTCGAAGCATATTACAGGCCAGAGGTACCTTACATTTTATTGAACATGCTGATTTATTTAACGATACAGTATCTGAGAATTTACTCACATATAGTGTTAATAATTATTTAACGATTAAGACGAAAGTCCCACTAGGACAGACCTTTGAACGCGAAAGTCATCGACAAAAGAGGTATAAAATTAATTTGCCATCGACTTCGTTTGCTTCTTCAGATATTGAGGTAGAATCTGACTCTGAGATTCAATCTGATGAGGATGAAAATTACTCAGATGATCCGTCGAGTAACGAACTTAAACTACAAATTGATGTTGAATCAGAAGATGACGATGAGTGTGATAGGATTGAACCATCACAACAATTACCATCTGAGAAATCTTCAACAATATCTTTACCAACAAGTAGAATATTAAAGTATAATTCAAGTTATGATAGTGATGAAAAATTGAAATCTCAAATTTGAAAATCTCATATTCCGACATCTCATATTTCAAAATCTTGTAAATCTTCTGGATATCAAAAAGTAGATAATTCTAGTTCTTCAGCACATCAAGAATCTGCAAAGGATATTTCTTCCATACGGAATAAAATAAGATTGAAATCATTTCATTATGACTCATCAGGTTCGGAACTTGACGAACAAATCAAATCACCGTCACATTCATCAATAGTAAGTTCTAAAATAATCATGTCTCGTACGTCAAGTTCTGAGTTAGAATTTTTAACAATTGACAAATTTGAAAAACCTCGTCCACTTGATCAAAGTGATAATTTTAGTTCTAGTGGAATTACTCGTCCTAATTCTGCTATTAATGTCATTTCATCAATAGTGATACCATCAAAAGTTGAATCTGTACCTTTAGTTGCAATTTCACGTGACGTCGAAGTTCCAACTTCAATTGGAGATACGATTCCAGTTGAAGTTTCAACTTCAATTGGAGATACAATTCCAGTCGAAGTTGCAACTTCAATTGGAGATACAATTCCAGTCGAAGTTTCAACTTCAATTGATATGGCGACATCAATTGAATGCATCGGTATAACTTCAAACGAAGTTATAACTGCAGCTATAACTTTGGCTGAAGTTATACCTATAAATGAATCTACATCAATTATAAAATCAACTTCAACTGAAATTGTAGCTTCAATTGATAATGAAATTGTAACGTCAACTGGAGTTGTTACTCCAATTGAAGTTGAAATTTCGTCAACTGCAGTTGCATCTCCAATTGAAGTTGAAATTTCCACTGAACATTCTTCAAATAATACTTCAAAAATAACAAATCAACAATTTACCGAAGGGTCAGAAGTTGATATGCTTTTGGAAGAAGCAATATCAACTGACAATATACCTGTAGTTGAAAATTCAACTACAATTATATCTTCAGTTGAAACTAAGGATTCAAGAAATAACATAAAGTCAAATGAAACTTCAATACAAGTTACAAATGTTATATCTGAAGGTACAACTTCAGCTGTTGAAGAAATTGAGAGACCAGGTTCATCAACTTCGTCACTTGGAATATCTAGATTAGAAATGAGAAGTGAATTGGAATCATTATCACAACAAAAATCTGACAAGTATAAATACAAAATTGGTGATATCATTTTGGGTAAAGAAAAGGGTTATACTTATTGGCCGTGTAAAATCTCCATGGTAAAGGCACTTTCTTATAAAGTCAAATTTTATGGCAGAGATACCAAGGGTATGATTTATAAAAATAAGACAGAGGATTTAACGGAGAAAAATTTTAATGAATTTTGTTTAAATTCGACTAAGTCTAAAAAAATTCAGGACGAGTTAATACAGGCATACACACTTGCAAAGGCTGATATGACTAACAATATTTTTCAATTATAATATTTTTCTAATAATTTCTATATATTTATTATGGAACGCAATTAGACCTTTCATATATGCATTTAGTATCTGTGAGTACAATGGTGTTATTTGAAAATTCAACGAGAGAAGGTATTTTTGAATAATGAAAAAAATGAGTTATTACTGCTGTGCTACGCAAAAAGGTTGTATCTGACATTTTCGTTATAATTGAGAAGATTATATTTGTCCTTTTTAGTTAGTACGGTAGAATATATCTTGTGAAAAATTACCTGATTAATATTGATTTCGAAGAATTTTTTAAATCAAAAAGTGTGGTGTGACTTCGGCCACCCTTTGAAGCCTGCTGGCTTGGGCTAGAGCCTTTTTCGTTCTGTGATGAATATGCTCTTGTACTCAGTTACTGAATACATATATGAAATATCTAAATGCTGACAGCATAAGGTGACTGGAATTTCTACCAGATCATTGGAATTATGCACAAGGTAAGGAATAGTTCACTAGTTATGTAATAAAGCAAATACAATAATACTATAAAATATTAAATGGTCCTCAATCAAAAATTGAAAGACTTGATAATAATATTCGTATGAATCTCAACGATTACATTATTATTATGTTTTTTTTTAATGTATAATAATTATTACTATTGAAAATATAATTGTTTGACAGCTATATTTGAAGATGGCATTTTTTACATTTACGCCTATGTGAAATTCATTTCATTTTGTTTAATTAATGAAAATAATGAATTTATTAGGAATTTATATGGAAATTGTTCAAGTATTGAAAATCATCATGTTACTGTTTAAAGAATAAATTATATTTTAACTATTATTTACATCTATATTGTGAAGAATATATTTCAATCCTTCTAATGAATTAAATAATTTTATCTATTTCACTTTCATTCGAATTAGCAGTAGTAACAATAAAATTTTAATACCATGGAATTAATATGATATATGCTACTTCATCCTTCTAAATATATAGAAATTATTTGGAAAAAGTAGCCAATATGCCTACTTAATTTACTCCAGAATTCTTTGTGAAAAATCCTGTTAAATTAGCGTTGCTGGTGAAATATTTTAGAAGTTGTAAGGAACGTCAAAAAAATTTTAATTATAACACGTTATATTTTGAAATTCTGCAGTATAAATCACGTCCTACTGTGTTCACGTTAGATGGTTTGACTAACGCTGTTATAATATTAATGATATATGACATGATTCTTTGTTATTTAGTAATTTTCCACACGCAAGCATGAATCAAATTTCTTTTCCTATTATTTAGACTTATTGAAGTTTTCAATTTTGGATTATCTATGTTATGATTTCAATAGATCAGTGTTAATTTGCAAGTGTTGGATGAATTTTCAATTCAACATGTTTTCTTGTTGTATACTTTCTTTGAATAATTTTCTTTGTCGCCTATACGCTTTGTGCTCATTATCATTGTTCAATATTAACGGGTGTACCTACTCGACTACAACTTCGGTAGAGGTTTGATAAATACTGAACCTATGAACATCATGTATCCAGTTCTAATCACATCTCCAAGCAAACGTATCATGATTGTAAGTTATGAAAAATTCTGAGCAATACCTTCTTCAACAATTGAAATTAATTCTATCTAGTCTATTTTTTTTTCTCTTATTTTCTAAACGCATGTGTCATTGCATGAGGTTGTTCCTGAAATAATTTCTGAAACGCTAGAGTGAATGATACCTCTTTTCTATAATACAATTTCAAAACAATAGTACTCCATACCATTTTATTATTTTTATTTTTCATTATTTGCGAAGCTACCCATAATTTTTTCTAAAGTGATTTTCAATCCTGGTATTACCTGCAGCAGGCACGAGGGCGACTGGCCAGCGAGGAAAAATTTTAGTTAGTGGGGTTAAACTTCAGGACTTCTAAACAATTTACTCTAGAGTCCAGTTAATGTTTCGAACCTTCATGTAAAGGTAAAATAGTATGCCGATGATGCTGTGTTGAATATTGAAGACCACAATATCTCCTGTCTCTTTTTTCTTCAATAGTGGGTGTCACTCCGTGAACCCACACAAATTTTTCTTAACCTATGGGCATTTGAAACTTTTTCAAAATTTAAATTTGCTATTGATATAATATATATGCACGATGAGGTGATATATAATGACTCTTAAAGTCTCTTACTGCAATTTATTGCATTTGATTTAACAGTGTTCTGTTTTATAAGTGTCTTCCTATCGGGAATGGCGTTGGTCTCAGGATGGGATTCTTGGGGAAATTTCTGTTGGTAATGTCGATCAGATATGAGGTTGGATCATGAGGTATCGTCATGCTGCATGAGTTACGCAAGACCAACTGGGATATTTAAAATCTTTATATCAGTTCCATGTCTCATTGATAGTATCAATAGTGTTCTTCGGGGTTTCATCTTGTGTACTGATGGATTTTCCTCATCTGCAAGACACTGGAAAAATTTGAAAGTGATCTTCAAATTTTTCTACCCAGGGAGGGGGGAGTGTAATGATTTTATAATCATTCCATATATAATTATATTTTTGCATAATAATTTCAATCAATTATCATATTATCAATGTATCTACATACGATTTTTGATCATTGCCTATAGTCTTTCTAAATCTAAATTATATCTATCAAATTTATCTGACTCCAAATCTGTAACAAATATCTGAATGCCTTTAAAATCAATTTCGTTACCATTTGTGCCATCTATCGAATGGTAGCGCAACTTCAACGATAACGCAGGTAGCTTAAATCTGCTGAAATAGAATTCGCTTGAACAAAATCTAACTGTTCGTCGATAATATCGATATGAAGAGTGCGCTGCGAATCGAAAAAGGAGAAGGTTAACGAAGAACTCAAAAAGCTTCTTCTCGTCAGAACCACCAAAGAGAACAGTTCATAACGTAGAACACAAGTCGGTGAAAATTTGGTATGATCGAATCTATTTAAAAATATCTATATAATCTCAAATCATTTTGATTTAATATCATGACTAATTAATTATTGCAATTATTAGTAATTCTTCAATTAATATATTTTTCAGAATATGAATATCATAGCATAATATAAATGTAAAGCTTGATTGGCGGCCATTTTATGAGGCTTTTTGATAATCGTAATCTTTTTTAATAAAGGCAATCATTCATTGAATTTATGTTTATAAATGATTATTCAGAATTTCTGATTCGTACATCGCTGATGTTAATGATATTTTTATATTTTCTATTTTTTCTACAGCTCAACCAAACATTTTCTTTCTCGTGTTTGTATTTTGGTTTTAGCCATCTTTGAAGTTCTTCGATGCAGTATATTCTATTATTAGAGGCCCTGCCATATTTTTGGGTATCTTATCACAGAATCTAACGAAACGAGGACGAAAAGTGGAAATTGGAGGTTGTCAGCTCATGGAAATGGAAGCTCCATCAACTTGAAGGGTGAGTAAGATTTTTCTATGATACTTTTCAAGTATTTTCTGGGTTATACCATATTTCTGGGAAACATCTTACTCTACCTACAAGTTATCCATTAGCTGACAAACTTGTAATCTCACATTCGAGTTACATATTTTTTGTTTTTGTGAATTATAAATTTGTTCATATACAATTTGCATCAAAATTCTCTTATCAAAAGATTATCGATCATACATAATTTGCATCAGACTTGATTTCTACGTATCTGTTGTATATCTAAGTATTTCTCAATATATGAGTTATCTTTGGTTATTTTGGTTCAGATATTGATGAGGATATTATCTCTACTACCTACATATATTATTATCTCCTCATTCTTATTATCGTATTATTATCTCGATATCATTATCTCGATATTATTATCACGATATCATTATCTTTATATTATTATCTCTATATTGCTTAATATATCATTATTATCTCCATTGATAATATTTGAGTATTCTCTATCTTTTGGTGTAGTAGTTAGTAATTTTGGTTATAAGTAAATCAGATTTTTTACATTCAGATATTTGTTTCTGATGAACAATTTGCTTATTTCATAGATTTTCTTATGATAATTATTGATAATTTTGATAATTTTCAATTATCAAACATATATAAATTTCTTCATTTCATGAGAAATTGAGTTTTCTATTTTCATTATTGGTAATTTTGATAATTTTCAATATTCAGACATATAAATCTCTTTATTTCATGAGAAATTGAATTTTCTTTTTTCTATCTTCCATTTTGATCAATTGTCAATTTAAATTACATCAATTTGTAGTTTTTCAAGCATTCAACTTGAAATAAGTTGAAGATTTATTTAAAAATTTACCTAAAAACGTTTTTAGAAGATTATATAGGTTATATTCATTATTATTATCATCGATTTTGTATATATTTCCCACTTCACATATTACTCCAAGACTCCCTACAAAGTCATTAAATAAAGGTAATTGTTTTGACTGAGCACTTGTTTTTCATTCATTTCTGAGCAGGGGAATTTATCCAAGTCAATGTGGATAAGTTTCTGGCGCCTTTTCACTGGTGTATGAGACTTGCAACAATCTGACCCACCCCCTGAGAGACGATAAAAATATTTAGTTATTTTTACGTTACACATTAAATATATTTCTACCAACTTAAGTAAATTGAATTTCATAAAAAAAGAGAGCTACTATCGACTCATTTTTTATTATTTTGTGTAACTGAATTGAGTTAATTGTCTTTCATTTGACTTAACAATGTTATGGATGTGAATTTCATTCATACCACATACTACTTCGAGTTCCTTGTAACAAAATATTTTTCCAACAACTTTAGTGGAGTTAAATTAGTTAAGAATATTGGTTTTTTAATAATAGTTTGGTGTGAAATTTTCTTACTGAAAACCACTCTAGTTTCAATTATAAACAAAATATTTTTTCTCGAACTCGAATATTTAGAATTTTCAAAACATTCGTGTTCTCGAAAAAATGTCCAGTAATAATTGACGCTCAAGTAGTATTATAAGTGAAATTTTAATGATGGCAATTTCGGCGAAAACATTAGAGATTTGGTCGCGGTATATCGGAACATAACGGTGGTATTATTGTATTAATTATTGTATTGAATTTTGTAGGTAATGTTTCCACCACTTGGAGGTCCATGGAAGAAGATTTAGATATTTTGGAGGATGCTCTCTATCACCAAATAATGATATTAGATGAGAATATAGATAGTGCTCCAAGAGTTCCTGAGTCAGACGACAAGAAAAGAGGAAAAGTCAGTTCTAAAAGGCATTGCTGTTTTTATTGCAATAAACCTGTGTTCAAAGTTTATCGACACTACATTGATGTTCATGGGAAAGAAAAAGAAGTGAGAGAACTAGCAATTCTTCCACCTAAGTCACAACAAAGAAAAATTTTGCCTGATAAACTTCGTAAACAAGGTGACAATTTATATAACACTACCACAGGAAAAGTAACCAACCAGAGAATTATAGTGAGAGAAACGTTAACGGAACACAAAACAATGAGAGAAAAAGATGTACCCTGTCCCGATTGTAAGGGATATTATAGTAAATATAGTATTAGACATCATATATCCAGGTGCATGCCAACTTTTGAAGATAGCAAATGAAGAAAGAACATTCAAGCTGAGTGTAGAAGACTACAAAATGATATTCATCAAAATACCTCCAATGTCCTTCGAACTAAAGTTTTTTCTGTCCTTAACGATGACGAAATCACTAATGCCATACGGTATGATGGAGCTGTCATTAATTACAGCAATCATTCATGTAGGAAGTATACGTCTCCTCATCATGCACAACAAATCAGATCGAATATGCGTGCTCTTGGTCGTTTAATTATATCTATCAGGGAAATAAATCCTCAAATAAGTAACTTGACGGATGCTCTGGAAACTCATTATGTAGATCTAATTGTAGCAGGGATAGATGAGGTTGCAGGACCTTATGAGAATACACATTTATATAGAGCACCTGCAACAGCTATGTTAATCGCAACAGAGTTGAAAAAATTATGTAAACTCTTGGAAATTGAGTTTATCAAAAAAAGAGATACAGTGGGGCAGAAAAAAATGGAAAGTTTATCCACCATTTTCAATTCAGAATTCAATGTAACTGTGAATAAAAGAGGTCTCGAGACTCAGAAAGTTAATGCTAGAAGAAAAAAAGCAGACCTTCCGAAAACGGAACACATCACACAATTCAGAAGTTATTTAGAAAACAGAGTTTTGTTTTATAGAAATAAATTGTCTAGTGAATTCTCGAAAGATGACTGGGTAAAGCTGGTTGAATATACCTTGGTTCATCTAGCTGCATTCAACAGAAAGAGACCTGGAGAAACGCAATGCATTTTGATTGAAGATTTTGAAAATAATGAAATCATTAATGATGATGAAGTAACTGACGAATTTGACAGTATTTCGAAGGAGCAGATGAAAAAATTGGCAAGAATTTGATTCAGAGGAAAGTTAGAAAAAAATACAGCCCTATTGGTACACAGGGATCTTGGTTTTGGAGCAATTAACCTAATTTTGAAATATAGGGAAAGAGCTGGAGTGCATAAGCAGAACAGATTCGTGTTTGGTGAACCTTCATTATATCGCACTGACAATACTTTTCAGGCATGTCAACTTTTACGTAAATTTGCCTCTGAATCAGGAATTGAACGTGGTGAATTACTGCGTACCAGGTTGTTGAGACAACATTTGGCCACAGAAACAGCTACCTCAAGCGTTGATGATCGAGTAGAAGGACGAGTTTCAGATTTTTTGTCACATAGAAACAGCTACTTCAAGCGTTGATGATCGAGTAGAAGGTCGAGTTTCAGATTTTATGTCACATAAAAGACAAATTCATGAAAATTATTATGTTAAACACAAAAAAAGACGATATCGCCAAGGTGTCACTCCTATTGGAAGATTTATCATCTACAAAGGGAACTACTAAAAAATCTACAATGGTTGTGAGGAATCCTCAAGTTTCAAACTTCGCAACCCCCAAAACAACTAGTAAGATATGTAATTCACTATCAAGTGATGAAGAATATTGTCAAGATAGCAGTGATCTGGTTTTGTCTGAAGCGGAAGTTGGCAATGTTTTGGGTAAGTAGGTATTGAGGTAAAATGAAGGCACCAAAAATTTACCTTCAAATAGGTTATGGTACCTAATCCTCTCAAATTTTCTACACCATTGATGTAAAATTAGGTTATGTTTCTAATTAGTAGTAAAAATACTTTTATTTTCGACTATGTCGAAAATTGTTATGGAAAAAAGTATACTAGAATTGAAAACCACGTTCAAATATCTAATAACATCTATCTACAATGAAAAGAAGGTTTTATTATTTTTCACAATCTATTTAAGATCGATTCATATGGAAAACTTTTTAATCATTAATTTTAGAAGAAAAGTTATAGTTGATGAAAAGTTTTGCAATGAATTTTTTCTCAAGATTTACTAATAAAACCTGATTTTCATCATAGATGTGATTAGATATTTAAACGTACTTTTCAATTCTAGTAAACTTTTCTGGATGATAATTTTCTCGATATTGTCGAAAATAGGGTTTGCATTCCCGATCCCGGAAATCCCGGGATTCTACTGATATTTTGATACCGAGAACCCCGGGATCACATTCGATGGATCCCGGGATTATCGGGATTAGTTTTGACCAAGATTTCGTTCCCTCCAAGTTTATGTATGATTAAATTCCTCATTATGGGCTCGAGCCACCCCTGAATATTTTGGGCAGCTGGCATATTCTATTTTTAAATCAGTTGACCAGCTGTCGCGAAGCGTGTTGGATAGTCTGCACTGGTGATAGTAGATATTGAATTACTGATATTTTTGGGAGTGGTTTATGTATTTCATTGCGTAACCAGTAAGGTAATTGATATTCTCATAATATTTTGAATTATCTGAAAATCATTTCTTTATTTATAGCAAAACAATGTTACGGGCATTTGTCGGGGCTGGGATACGTGCCTGATGATTGCGGGTTTCAATAGATGGGGTATCTTATTGAAGAGAATATACACTGTGTCCATAAAGTCACCCCCCCACCCTGGTTAACTATTGAACGGATGGGATTTTTTTTATCAATTTTTTTTTTGCTTCAATGGTAGTTTCAGTGCTATATATTGTTCCAGGCGCCATTTTGGAAGATTTTTTTAAATGGAGTGGGGGGTCGAAAGATACCTCGATTGAAAGGTCTTTCGATTCTCTATACAACCTCAGAATCTCAGACGAAAATATTCATCCAAAACAAAATGGCGGATGATAACGTTTGAAATCTCACACCAGAATTCTTTCGACTAGATGGCTATTGAAGTGCTCGCATGTGATCTTCAAATCTCTATTGGCGTAAAGAAGAGTTCTCTATCCATGAAAATATCAATAGGAAGCCATTTTGAAGAGAATAACATGGTAGTCAATTATACCTTTGCTCGATTGTCTTTCCAAATTCTGCAAAATTTTAGAAATATTTATTCAAAATAAAGAACAATGTTTATTCCACGTGACTACCATGTTATTCTCTTCAAAATGGCTTTCTATTGATATCTTCATGGATAGAGAACTCTTCTATACGCCAATAAAGATTTGAAAATCACATGCGAGCACTTTAATAGCCATCCAGTCGAAAGAATTCTGGTGTGAGATTTCAAACGTTATCATCCGCCATTTTGTTTTGGATGAATATTTTTGTCTGAGATTCTGAGGTTGTATAGAGAATCGAAAGACCATTCAATCGAGGTATCTTTCGACCCCCCACTCCATTTAAAAAAATCTTCCAAAATGGCGCCTAGGCGCCATTTTGGAGGATAATTTTTTTTTGAACAATATATAGCACTGAAACTACCATTGAAGCAAAAAAAAATTGAAAAAAAAAATCCCATCCGTTCAATAGTTAACCAGGGGGGGGTGACTTTATGGACACAGTGTATATGGTTTACCTCTATTTTTGTTTCACCAGGTAGTGCCTTGAACTGCCAAGTTTTATCTAACTTGAGTTCATTCGTTCTGTAGAAGATGATCTGGTTGGATGAACTGATTTCGAACAATAGTGTTGCAAATATTCATCATCTGTATGGTATATTTTTCTCCAGTGTTTGATTTGGGAATTTGTTATCATCTATAAATTGTTGAGTTGAGACTGGGATATTGAAAATATATATGATCATATTATTTACCTTTCTGATTGAATATAGATGTAAATTCCGTGAAAGCTAGAGATAATAGCAAGATAATTATTTCCTAATCAACAGTTATTTACCAGCTTTCACTGACTGGACTATTCAATCGGGGATAGGGAATTCAGGATATCAGATGTGGTAGCATATTCACTTGCAGTTGGGAATTATGGGTTTTGAGGTCATTCCAGGCACGAAAGTTATGGAATTGACTTGTCTGTCACTGTCACCAGAAATTTGTCACTAAGACATTTTTGATTCATTTTGTCTCTGTCGAAGGAGAGCTTTCTCTCTTTTTGGGCACGCCGAGCCATTTACCACACAGCAGGATTTTGCTCTAAATTTTAAAAAAGAATCATCCATGACATAATCAAAGATACAAATACTGAAATTTCGCTCGCCTGACAATAAAATTCCCAGTTTCTGCTGGTGAAATACAACGTACTTGTGTTTTTGGAAGCCTCCAACATCAATGAGGTAAGATGTTCGACGCGCCATTTCGTAGTGACAAAAGTACATGTTCCAATTTTATTTCAGGCTTTTAATAATACCTTTCCATCATCATTTTTGACTATGACTTCCAAATGATCTAAATTCTGATGCAGATTTGAGTCAATGAAGTTTTATTTTGGATTTTGATTATGGATACACATGTCTGATAGTTCCTGAGTTCCTGACCTAATATCCGGTATCTTTGGATAATCATCTGAAGGTTTTCATCTATATCAATATCGGGATGTGCAGCAGCAAGCAGTTCACTCCATGAAATAAGGTTAGATCATTCCAATTTAAATCTGACAAGAGTCCAGTACTAGAAGATATCATCTTGTCGTCATCTAGTTCCTACGGGTTAACTAGCTTATAATTGTCTGATTTATGATAGTTTTCACACTGTGAAACTTTGAGTATGGCCATACCCAAGGGGGTGACTTACATATAGATTTTGTGCCGATGTTTCTATGATAAGCGTAACTGGTACCTTGACTGAGTCAAAAATATGATATCATTTGTTAATTACAAACCGTATTGATCAGGCTATCAATGTCTCTTAAATTGCTGAAGTCGAACTAGAATTAAAACCAGAATTAGTGTCAGAATAAGTGGATATATTGGTAAGTTTTATTTTAAGGCACTTCTTGTCACTTCGAATACAATCATTGGTACATGTTAACTACAGGATACTAGTCTATACACTATATATATATCTTAATCTCTAAGAACTCCTCACAT